AACCTGCCCCTGGACACATGGGAGCTGGACTTTCATAGGACCCTGGTGGTAGCTATAATTTTCTCCTGCTCTCTCTTTATTTCTTCTTCTTCTTCTTCTAATATCCTTTCTCAGTATTCTGGGTACCTTGATAATGGATGGGCTGGATTTTGCTGAATTGTATGTGTTAGCATGTGCTAAGTCAGTGCTTTGTAGAGTGATTTATTTTGGTTGCATGTGATCTCTTTGAATTTTTACAATTTTTAGCTTTTTGTAGATTTTAATGTGGCTGTATAATGTGTCACATTTTAGAATAGTAGTTAACAGTTGCCAAACCCTATTCCCCTATTTCATAATGAATCTTCTAAATTCTTTAGGCTTGTTTAGGCTCCTTTCAAGTCAGGAGTATAGTAAGCACATTCTACTTAAGAACATTTGCACCCCAAGCCTGAACACCAAGGTACCATTGTAGTCAAAGCAACCTTCAAGCCCAGAACCTTGGAGAAGCTCCAAAGACAGTACGTGCTGTGAAGAAGAGGAAGATGAGGGAGAAAAGGGGTTGTGGGACCTCTGTTTCAGTTTCCTATGGAGGCATGCCAGGGGAGCAGGTCTGGGAGTGGGTGGTTCTCAGATCAGACCATAAATTTTGGAACACCCAGACACAGGGGAGCACACCTTATGTGAAGAAGACCTTCATTAAAGAGCTGCTCTCCATCTTATCTATACCAAATTAGCCTGGTGAGTTTTTTTGCTCTTATCTTCAGGTAACATATGTTACCCTTTAAACTTTTGCAAAGACTTCTTGTTTTTTAAAGTTTACCAGTAAAAGTACCCACTGAGAAAACGTGTGCAGCATCTTCTCCTTTGTGCTCTCTCTTAAAGTGTTAAAAGAACTGGATCCGGAGGGTGGATATTGCTGGAGCCTCGTATGTTTTTAAAGTAAAACACCTTCACTGAGCCCGTAGCTCCGGTGCCAGGGTCTGCAACAGTATCCAGAATTTTTAACTTTAGGTGTTATGCTCAATCTGGTGAGCATTTTGACATCTCTGTCATGTCCATTACCTGTTAGAAATAAGTTGAGGGGCAGCAGTGTTTGCGAAGAGAGGTAATGCTGCTACCTAGCCTAAACTAAACCTCTAAATGCAATCTGAATATATAATCTGAAATAATAGTAATTTTTCTGCTAATGTGAGGCTTTGCAGCCTTCCTTGGATTTAGTAAGTGGCTATTGTCAGTGGATTGGATCTGGGTGATGTCCCTCATTCCCTGAAGTTTAACGACTTGCCTTTCTATCACTTTTAGTGGAGGTGTGTGCCAGTTAAAACTCCCATTAGGTTACAGCTTTTTTCTGCAATGTCACGGTTCATAAATTAAGGGATCAATATTTTTGTCACCAGAGCTGAAAATTTCTCCCTAAAGGTCAGGCCTCTGAGAGATTCTTTAGATCTTGATGAATTTCTATGACAATGGTCCTTCAAAAAGAATGTTTTCTGATACTTTCTGATACTTTGCGATACTCAAGAGAGAAAGTCAACAATGTAATGCCTTATAATTTTGGACTCGTTGGCATAGAAACCTCTTCGACATTTGGAGAGTTACTTGACATTCCCGTTGTTGATTACAAGAAGAGTTAAACTCATATCACACCAAACTCGTTAGCAATGATAGAATGCAATTTCCAGTCTTTTTCTTTCCCAAGGACAAGAATGGTTGTGTGGAATACAACCAGAATCACTGCTCTTCCCTCATGCAGTTGTACTACTGAATCTCAAGGGCTGCTTTGTTTCATGTCCATGCTTGTAAGGATATAGTTGTCACCTGAGTACAGATCTTCTGACCACCAGGCCACAAACCATTGGGTTCTTTACTGAAGTCACCAAAACCACAAAGGACTATGTGCCAAAGTATGAGGTTATGTAGTATGTGTTACAAGGAGTCTGAAGACTGTAACGTTTCTGTGTAGGCCTCTCTCTACTCAGTTTGCTATTGCAGCAACTTTTCCAGAGCATCACCACTGAAGGTTTGACCAAGAAGAGAAGCTCTCTGTGGTATCTTAGTCTTAGATGAAGCTTTTCAGTGTCTCAGAAGCTGAAGAGGAAATGGATGTGCTCCCAGTACCAAGAACTAGCTCCTTTCTTGTGTTTTATACATTAATTGCATTGTACTATGAAAACTGAGCATGTTTCTTGTTGGTTATACAAGCAAGAGATCCTCAGTCTCCTAGGAAAGAACTCAAAGGAATATCTTGTATAGTGCTTCCTTGGTAATGCTCCAGAAAAAGCTTTTGGAGAAAGAAGGAGAATAACCAGAGTACTGTTTGCTCATGAATTTCATTATTAACTTTGTGCTAGTAAACCCTTGTGATTATTGTGAATGAAAATGACAGGCTGGAGCAGCAGCACTGCCCTCTTAGTTGTGATGGTGATGCACAGCCCTGCAAAGAAACGCAGCCACAAGCACTGGTAGTCCCAGATTATTCTTGTTTCTTCTATAGGAACCACGCTGAGTTTCTTTGATGGCATGATTATTGTGTTTTTATTATCTTGATCATGGGACCCACTAGGCAAGTCACCAAGCAAGCTGACAGCCACTTGCAGGATCAGCTCTCTGTCAGCCTGTCTACCCTTTCTTTTGTGTTCGCTGTCAGACCTTGTATTTAGGAAGAACATAGTGCACTCAAGGGCCTTCCCATAGTGAATCCTTATGGACAGAGTGTATATATAGGCTGGAGAGGGAGAAGAAGGTACATTTAACATCCTTTTAAACATGATATTTCACTCTGTTCTTCTCAGCCTGCATTAGGGACTGAAGAGTGAAGTGCTGCAACTAGGTGCTGTTGCTCACATAATAAAATTTATGTCATGTAGTGAATACCTGGAAAATAATTATATATATTTTCCCCCACAGTTCAACAGATCTTCCTGTGAACAGCCTCCAGATTTAGGATGAACGTGAGTCTTCTGTTACTTTGAGAACATCATGTTCTCAAACACTCTGTGCAGATGGCAGACAATGCAGGTTTAGGCCATCACTTAGCAAGGTCAGTCAAAATCAAAGGGAAAGGATAGGGCTATGTATGAGGTGCCTGTGGGTATGGGGGTATGTACATGTGTTCTTGCTTGCTATGTGCCTCAAGTACATTTTTTTTAATTTTCCAAATAAGAGCCTGTAAAGAAAGAGGCTGATTTCGACTATATCTTGTTAAAGAAAGCTTATAGAAAACTTTTAACTTACTATTTTCATGTCAACAGTCTGGACTGCATGATTTTACTAGTAATTAATAAAAAATATATACCATGCTTAATTTTCATCCATGGGAAGCTGAACTACTCTCTTTCCTGTGTGGGCAAACTTTGAAATGAAAAGAATGAGTATGTCTACAAAAGATATGTCTTCAGTGCTCTTCAGTGCTCTGGCATTTCTCAAGAAAAGATGTGGTAATTTTGGTCTATCCTTTAGATAACGTGACCTTGATAGATTGCACAAATTAATTGTAGTTAAAGAGTACAATAAGAAATGAGATGCTAAGTTTATTGCTGGAGAAATAAAACTAGTTTACCATTATGTTATTGACTAATGGGTCACAGACTTGACACTTAAAACAAGCTGCCACTTTTTTAATCAGTCTGTAAGGACAGTTATGCTGTAAGGACAGTTATGCTGATGATCCTAACTAGATGACTGTACAATACAAACAGGCCATTCATCACAGTGAATTAGAAGCTATTTTCCAGCAAGCAAAAATACAAACACACAGGTTAGCATACATCTCTCAGAGGAGATAAATACTTATTCCAAGTTTTCTGAAACTTGATAAAATGTACAGGATGAAATCCAGGCCAGTATGCCACTCTGATATTGGTGATGTACCTCAAGGAAATATTTTTTTGACTAGTATTTTCTCATAAGCAAATATAGGCCAGATTGTATCATATTACACATGGTATAGCTTTGAGTTATTTTTCATTTTTAACAGCTGTCTGTTTTCTTCATCTGTCTTTAAGTCATGCCACAGGAACATCTGCTGGTTCTTTTCTTTCTTACTATTGACTTCAGTTTTGCATTTTTATAGTGTGGTTTTATTTCCTTGTGAGGGTCAGCTTTCTTGTTCAAAGAGGAGCAAGGGAAGACAACATGCTAAGTGTTACAGCTATGCTGGATTTGGCCCCTGTTTGCACAGGTAACCTGGGAGTCAATAGCTCTTCCCTGTGCTGTCCCTCTTACCCTTGTCACAATGACCTGCAGCTGGGCTGAAAATCTTTTTGTCCCCTATGCTTAAAAGCTCTTTTGGTCCCTGTGGTGAGATGGACATGGAATAGCCTCTCCCTATATTGTGACTTTGCAATACAACCTCTGTGTTTTGAAAATTTGGACTGTCAGGTTTATCCCTCAGGATGCACCAATGACCCACTGTGTGGTAGCAAATTTTACTTAGAATCCCACCAGCCAGTCAAATGTGCAAATCTGATGTGAATCTCATGAGAGGCAGCTGGAGAGATATCTTGAATTCTGTGAGGTATTCTATGATTGGTACGATTTTTTTCTATACCCTTCCTCTTTCTTGCTGTTCTGAATGGGGAAAAAAAGATTAAAATTTGAATACTCTTGGGGTGGTGTGTGTGTATCTGTGTGTCTGTGTGTGTGTGTTTTGAAGGAAATAAACACAGAAGTGGGGAGAAATAAGTGAGCAGAGCATAATAACAGCAGCTCAGTTTTTAGTCCCAACAGACTTAACTAGCAGAAGGGGAAAGGAAGATCTGGGGCTGGCTGCCAGAGAAGCATTGCTGAGTGTAAACACTACAAGGCATCTCTGAATGCTGTTATCGTAGGGAGCCTGAAAGTATTTATGATTTGAGACTCTGCAGTCAGTCTTACAAGCAAGGAGTGTTTATCCCGGATTTTCAGTACAGAGAAAGCTACAGCCAAGCTGACCAGAAAGACTGGAATTTCATCTATCTCTCCCCTCCCCCTCTCTGCTTTCTCTCTGTCGCCCACTCACTGGATTTCTTTCTCTGCCAGCCTTTTAAACCAGAGATTCCCAGGTCAGTGACTTACATTTTTCCTGTTATTCTAGTGTGCTCTCATGTTCAGCCTCCTGCAGAAACACTGCTACCTGTAAGTATCAGACTCAAGTTTGTTGTACACCAAATACTGTTGTGTTTGTGGTTGTAATAGTGCTTGCAGAGTTCAGTTTGCTGCTGAATGTTGCAGCCAAGCAGTCAGACAGTAATTTTTGTACTCGAGATGGATGAAAACTCCGTTCTACCTTTGAGGAAAGAAGGCACTAGTTCTTGCCAGTTGTTTAGTAAAAGTTAACTTGAAAGTCAAGGATTCCAAGCAACTTACTTTATCCTAATGTTCAAGTTGATATAGATTTCTCAACTATGTTGGCTTTTTTCCATCAAATCTAATAAAACTTTGTGGCTTTATCTTTTATAAAAGCTTGGCAGCACTAAGCAAGATTTCTTTGCTTGGAATTGTCTTACTAATAAGACACACTAGAAGAAATACAATAAAAAAGTATTGAAAAATACAATGAAAACTTTTCATATTATTTAGTCTTTATATAGGATATATTTCATTTAACTGAGATAACTTGTTTTTTAAATGCATGTTTTAAATTGTATGCTTACTTTGCAGTAGAGATCTGTCTGCATTTTCACAATTTCATGTACATTCAGACAACTGACTTGGTTCATCTGAATGAGGCAGATGTTCACTAGTTGTATGGATGAACACTTACGTGTGTTCCTTAAGATATATGTGCTTGCATGGTTTTTACATTTCCTGCTGGTTTCTATGTATTTATCTAGAACCAAACTCTAAAACAAACTCTCTGTTCTAGAGGTTAGTTACTGTCACTCTGTGTTGTGCTGAGACATTCCAACAAATTCTGTGGATAATTATCCACAGTTTCTTCAGTTATTGAAAGGGGATTTTTCCACTTATATTTTTGCTAGTTAGAGAATTCTGCTAGTTGTCATCTCAGCTAACTCGGCACTGCACTTTACCTTAGACAAAATGCATCTCTATTGACGTGTCCAGGGTGTCACTGGGAGACACTGGCACTGTAAACTACCAGTTGTTTTTGCAGTAGAACACTACACACACCTGTAGAAGTTGCCCCAGCTCTTTTTTCTTACACAGGTGTTATTGCTGTGTGTCTGCCAGCATTTTCTTCTCGATTCTTCCTTTGTGGTTTGTGGAGTTTTTTTGCATGGAACGTGGACTGCATGCAGATCATTTTAACCTAGATAATGAGGCAGTTTGGATCTGGGAACATTTAGATTTTGAACATATGTTCCAGAATAGATTTTAATCTTAAATTAAAATACCTCCTGTCTGTTCATTCTTATGTTCATTTTTTTTCTGCAGTCCTTGAAGTAGTCTTGATAATATTAGTGTATGATAAGTGTTCTTGATCATATATGTCTATGATAACACTACAGTCCAAGAGGACTTGATCTATTCATGGGGAAAAGAAACTATCATTATCTCCATCAGACTGTGAATTTACAGATGGCAACAAAATAGCACATGCTACTAAACTAACGATGCATTAAAAATGCAATCCACTTGCCTGTACCTGTTTGAGCATAAAGAGGGAGTGAGTGCATCATTTGTCATCAATACTTTAACTTTGCTTCTCTCACTTTTTGAGATTATGTGGCATTCATAATCTCAGATTATGGACACAGATTGGTTTATCTCATAGTAATGGCTGTGTGGGCTACAGTTACTGTAGCTAGGGTGTCCATATAACATTTCATGCTTTAACAACTCACAGAACATGTCTTGGGTTGATTCAGATGCCTTTTGTGCAGTTGGGAAAAAAACCCTGAACCTGGGAGTCAGTTGCTCCTGAATTTTCCCAAACTACATTTGGGAAGGTGCTAAACATTCCCTGATAAAGTGCATAATTTCTTTCTCTAGTTGCTACCATTATGAAGTCCTGTAAAAGTATTGAAAGATCTCTAGTAGCTGGTTGTGAAGTTAAACTATAGCTGGATTGCATTTGATGTTTTGAAAAATGTTATCTAAAACCATTATGTGACTGTATGAGCTGATTTAATACCCACAATCCTTTCATTGCCCTGGGCTGAATTTTAATTGCTGTAATAATATTCGTCTTGTTTCCTAGAAATCCTGGAAGGCTGTCACTTGTTTTCTTTAAACCCATTCTAAAAAAAAAAATCCTATTTTCTTTCTGTTTCTTGTAAACTTTTTCTGATATTCATTAAAACAAATCAGTGCAACTCCCAGCCCACAACAATTGTTCTCCATTATCCCCTCCAACTTTGAAAAAGAAGAGGGCAATTTTTGATCCAGCTGTTCAGTGGAATATCCCAGGTAACCAGAGATTTTGTCACACACAGACAAACCCTCAAAGTCTCATCCAAATCCCAGTGTAGACTTTGGGTGTCATAGAGACTTGGCTCAAGTTCACTAGTGATTACAGATTCTTTATTCAGCTGAGAGTTAGTGGTGCCGTTTCTGAGTTTATTTTCTTTTTTTTTTTTTTTTTTTTGGGTGCTGGTAGATAGCCATCTAAGTAATTTGGATTAGTTTTTTACTTACATCAAATTAGCTCTCCTCAAAATCAGACTTACCAGTTGTATTTGGTGAGAATGCTAATGTTTGTAATTAACCATTGCATCATTTCTCACATATGCACCAGAAACCCTGAGGGAAAATCAGTTCTTCTGGCATTTGAAGGAAATTTTTAACAAACCACATCTAAAGTCCACGGAAACCATCCCCTACATTGTCCCAAGTTTGGTATGTCACTGCATTAACTCTACAGTCATATTCACTGCCTCTTCACAGGCCCCTTCTGCCTCAGCCTTCCCACCCTGGGCTCATCTGCAGAGCAGGGGAGGAGTTTGCCAGCAGAGTAGCTCCTTAGAGTTCCCCTTGCCTAGTGTCCCTTGTACAATGCCTTGGACACATCTACAGAACGTATTTTCCAGGCTTCCAAATCTCAGTGTCGGCTTGGCTAACCTACCCATAATTATGGGAAAGGTGGTCTCTTTACTTGTTAACACAGTTTTTTATACCAGTAGGGTTTTATATTGGATGCTATGGGAATTATGGGAGAGTTGGCAGGGTATAATGCAGTGTTTTCCAAAACTACACCAGGTAATTAATGTAGGTCCTGGCAATCAGTTGGCTCTGTCATTTCTGCTTAGAGTTACCACACGATTTAGGGTGAAAAACTGTAACTGCTCCCACCTCTTGCTCCAATAACAGCCAACTTTTATGGCAAGTACAGCTTCAAAGTTACATCAGGCAACTCAGGCCTTGGTTAGTTGCTTTTTTAAATATCTCTAAGAGGACTCCATAAAACCTATTCCACTGTCCATAATCACATTGTCTTTTTTTTTTTTCTTTTCTAATATCTGATGTGAATTTCCTGTGTTGCTGTTTTTGTGGATTGCACCTTGTCCCTTCACTGTGCACCTCCAGGCTCTCTGCACTTTCTTGTTAGAAGTCTAAAACAAGCAATAAGCCCTCTCTTCTTCAGGCTGAACAAATCCAACTGTCTCAGCCTCTCCTCATAAATCATGTGCTCCATCTGAGGAATAACAACTAATATATGATATATCACTGAACTGACATGACTGGTTTACTTCTGGGACCAAAGCTGGTAGTTTTGTACTCACACAGTGCACTTGGAGTTATTTTAGTTGTTTTGCCATATAGACAGAAAGTGGATAAGGAAACAGCTTAGTTTCACAATACTGATTCTCCTAGTGTGTTGCTCATGAACACCATTATTTCTTTAAGCCACTCAGTACATCTGAAATATTGTGGTGCATTTAGATTTTGTAGTGCCTTAGTTGTACGTCCATTCTGGGTACGCAGATGACATGCCAAGGAATAGCAGGGATGAATCAGGCTCAGCTGTGACATTAGGGGCAGAGAAGTAAAAACAAATGTAAGGAAGTTCAAAGTAGCCACAAAATATGGCAATGGCATCACCAGCAGTTGTATAGCTGCTGGGAAGCAGCTCACTGTTACTGTTGATCAGAGTAAGTACTATGTAGCACACACATGACTTTGCTGAAGCAATGACTTTCTTCATACCGTGTGAAGATGCTAATATGATGGCATTCACACCAAAACCTTCTCATTTTTATTGCCATTTTGTGCTGAAAAGGTCTCTTGCCGTTTCATTTTTCTAACATTAGATAAGTGATTGATGAAGAGAGGTTATGCTTCCTAAGATCTTCACTTGGCCACCTAAGGAGACAGCGCTCAGCAGACAAGTAGGGGCCAGTGGCTGGAACATATGGGGCAAAACCATGTACAATGGAGCTGTGCCTGCAAGTAAAAGTAGTCAAAGCAAGACAGTGACAACATAACCAAATTTGTTTCATAGAATGCCTCACACAACAAATATGAACTTGGTCAAAATGCTCCTGGCTCCCCTTTGAGACTTTTTGCTCTTTGTTTGATGCAGGGTAGGAAAAGGCAACAAAGAAACTACTGCCTGTGCCTGAGGTTTTTAGTTGTACTCTGTCCTGGGTTTTATGGGGCAGGCACCAGTAACAGAGCAACCTGGGCTGTAGCAGAGTTGAGGTGCAGAAGTGTCTGTGTGAATGACTCTGCCAGTGCTTGTTGGAGAGAGGCAGCTGCCTTCCCTTGTTTTAAGCATGTATGTAGTGTGTAAAGAGAACAATATCCTTCCTGACCAGTGCTGTTTGTGAAATGATGATTAGGCTGTCTCTGAACTATAACGTGGTTTTACAGGAGCTATTCAGGTGGGAGTGGAGAAAGTCAAAACTCTCCAGGCTTTTATTTTACCTTTTCTCCTGAGGTGCCCTCTGCCCTCTGAATTAAGGCTTTTTGCACCATAAATCAATGCCCCAGCCTGCCATTATGCAGCACAGAGTTACTGGCACTGTCATGAGCAGTAAACCACCAGGTCTATGGCTCAGAATCATTCACTGCCTCTTAGCACTTTGCCAGGTCCTAGCCAGAATCTAAAATTCCTAATTATTTTCATCTTATCTGAGCCCCTCTAGGGCTTAAGAAAATGCGTCTTCTCTGAAAGTAGCTCAGACTTATGCATTGATTCTTCATCAGGTAGGGGCTGGTGTCAAAAGATTTAAAATCCTTTGCAGTCCTTGTGGCAGGATCTTCCTCAGAACAACTTTGTGACACATATGTCAGAGTGGTTATTTCACTTTCCTCAGCCCTATCTTCACTTTGTTCAGTGTAGGAAGTAAAAAAAGGACACAGCAATACAGAAGGTATTAATTCAGAACCTCTCTCCCTGCTTTGCAGCTGGTACTTTAAGGAAATGCATTATATTTGATAAATGCTAGAAATCCATGCACTACGTGATAAATGCCAGTCAGATATTCAGGTTAAAAGGGTGCACTTGCTGCAAAGCATACTTTCACAGTTGGAGTCTCAAGTGTAATATGTTTTTCTCCCCCTTTTTCCTAGCTGTTCTTTATAGAATTGCAGACTGTGTTTCAAAACCGTGAATTTTAGAAAGTGGAGTGCTGTCTCAGGAAGTGCTATGGATACCCAACCTCAAAGAAAGAAACAAAATTTAGAAAGTGTTTTGGGTATATTTCCATAACTAGATTTTAGTGAAACCTGTCTGTGTAAATAAACTTCTTTAAAATTATTTGAGATTTCGATTTGTTAATGAAACACTTTAAAACATTTTCTACCAAGAATTTCCTTTTCCTCTGGTTGTTAGAATTCTACATTTTCCCTCAGATTTTCTTCAGACTGATATGGCTGCAATATTTTAAAACAAAACGGGAACATAAATTGCTAGAAAACCAGAGTTAAGATTGGTGTCCCAAACTTAAATATATATATAATTTATTTGTATGTTAGTCAGTCTTGAATGTGTGGTGAAGTGATCTGTCTTGTCTTACTTTAGGAAATGAAAAATTTTAAATGATTTCTGAGCTGCTGGTTGGTTTCCAGTGAAATTTAAAGCTGGGTGGATGTGTCCATTCAATTATAGGCTGTTCAGAAGGTCATTCTGCTGGAAACAGTGGAGTCAAACCTGTGAACAACAACGAAAAAAATAAAGACATACAAGGATCTGGGTTTTAATTCACTTTCAGGAAAGATCACTGTTGGAGGTAAAGTTGTGGCAAATAAGAAGTCAGCACATTAACATAACAAAAATTCCCTGCACAAAACCAAAAATAACATCATTATAACACCAAACGAAAATGGACAATTCACACAAAATTTACCCCTTGACCCTTCACTACAATTACAACAAAAATTCCCCATGATCATTTCATTCTCCAGCAATGTTCAGGACTTGTTTTGGCCATTACCTCTCTCAGTTACTATCCTTATCTCAAAATCCTCACGATCCTAGTCATGGCACCAAGACTGTGGTGGGTTAATCTCGTCTGGATGCCAGGTACCAAGCTGCTCTATCACTCCCCAGCCAGACAGAGGAGAGAGAATAAGATGGAAAACAACTCATAGGTTGAGATAAGGCAGTTTACTAAAGCAAAAGTTCGCACACACACAAGTGAAGAGGAAAATAACAGGGTTTATTTTCTGCTTCTCATCAGCAAGAGATATCCAGCCACTTCCCGGGAAGCAGGGCTTCAGAACATGGAGCGGTTTCTCAGCAGGCAGACATCATGAACAACAAATGCCCTTCCATTCTTTCTTTTTTCCTTAGCTTTTATATCTGAGCTGACATCATATGACTAACCTTTGGTTAGTTGGGGTCAGCTGGCCTGGTTGTGTCCCCTCCCAGGATCTTTCCCTCCCCTAGGGGGGGATGTTACAGAGCTGATGCTGTGCCAGTGCTGCTCAGCAGTCACCAAAACACTGATGTGTTATCAACACCTTTCTAGCCACCAAAGCAAAGCACAGCACTGTGAGGGCAGCTGTGGGGAAATGAACTCCATCTCAACCAGGCCTAATATGGGTAAAATTAAGCTGCTGCTTTAAATGAACTGCAACTGTAAGAAATGGTGGAAGGTTTTTGTGTGTGTCTTTGTAGGGTTTTTTTAATCCCAATAGTTACTCGATTCCTTATAGCAATTTTCTTTCTTTTATTTTTTTCAGGATTAACAAACCTTAAAAGGACTCTGAGAACACATTCATCATTTTGTCAGGCTTGACCAATGAATTTTATAAAATTCCAAGGATATTTTGAAAGGGTCCTGCCCAAATTTCAGTCAAGGAGTGACTCTTAATAGAAAACATGTCATATGTTTTTACCTGCAACTAATATTTTGGTGCTTCATTATATGGCAAAAGTCTGCTTGTGGAGAAAGAAGACTCCTTTTGTTAAGAAATTTTTTTCACTGGTGGAAAAGGCTGGCATCCCCTTATAATATGAAGTCCTTTGAGAAAAGCTGGTTATTTCTGCTGCTGCCTGTCATGCTAAGAGTGGTGTGTTCCTCCTTTATCAGTGTGAACCGTGGGGTGAAAGTGATGAAGGGACAGTCTGTCTTCCTGTTAGAAGATGACCTCAAGTTTTCCATCCCCAGAGAGAAGGATGTCTGCAAAGTTGAAGTTGTGATTAATGAGCCAATAACGCAGAGAGTTGGAAAACTGACTCCACAGGTATTTGGGCTCCATTGTGCTGCTTTGAGTGTTCATGTGGTAGAAACTAGAAAGAGCTACCTTACTGGTTTTTTTTTCTTTTGGGTAGTGACTAAAAGGTATGAAACTGGATGATCTGTGAGATTTAGCCTTTTGCTTAAGCAGACAGCTGGCAGAGAACTGCAACACGGAAATCCAAAAACTGAGCTCAGTAATATGAGTGAACGGAAGTGAGTTTGGTCAGAGTCTCCTTTCACAAGCAAAGAATGAGTATTTCAAAACTTTTGGTTAGGAGATATTCTTGAGCCTCTGAGCTGCTTGCTTTTCAATCATGAGGGTAATGAGTGCCCCTTGGGTAATGCATACCCCACCAGAGCATTTTGCATTTTAGTCACGAAGCCACTACTTAGGGAGCAATTAAGAAAAAAATAATCACATACAATAAGCACATTGTGTACACCATTGTTTGCTCTGCTCTGCAACATCCAAATTGCTAGCAGATGGCAAATACATTAAACTCCCCCGTTTTCTGTTCAAATGTCAAGCCTGTAGGAATAATGAGATGTATTTCACGTATCACCGTTCTGCTACTCATCTGCTTTACAAATTGCCTCACCTGAGTCATAGCAGGAAGGATTATAAAGTAATTGACGTGAAGAGGTAATGGGATAGATAGAAGATGAATGGTTTTAATAAACCATAGGAAAACAGGTTTTGTCTTTTTGAAAAATTTTGTTTATTGTACAGCATACACTTTTGTGTATTTATATATGTATATAGTTTTAAACATCCTTTCCAAGTTTTTGGCAGTTTCTGCGAAGGTAGGTGCAGGAGTACCAGTTTCAATAGATTTTTCACAATTTTTTTCTTGGTCATCACTGTTGCTTTTGTAGACCACTGACAAGTATTTCAGCTGAATCAGCACTGCTAAGGAGCATAGGCAGGGAAAACAGGAGGTGATGCAATGAGCAAGACAATGTTTGATCTTCTCTAGAGATTGGCCCCAAGAAATGTAGTGCATCTGCTGAAACTTCCCCAGGGCTTGTTCTCTGCCAGAACAGGGACTTTGACCATGGTACCCCACCTCTACTTCCCCAGTATAGGTTGGCTCTTGATTCATATAAACATAGACTCATTAAGGTTGGAAAAGACTTTGAATATCATTGAGTCCAATCATTAACCCAGCACTTCCATGTTCACTACTAAACCATGTCCACTACTAAACCTTGTCCACTACTAAACCATGTCCCTAAGCATCATATCTACACAAGTTTGGAACACTTCCAGGGATGGTGATTCCATCACTTCCCTGGGCAGCCTGTTCCAATACCTGACCACCCCTTCAGTGAAGAAATTTTTCCTAATATCCAATCTAAAAAAGAGGAAGAAAAAGAGGAGAAAAAGAAAGACACATGTCAAACCTCTGGCAAACCTCTTCTGTAAGCAATGTGACTGAGGAAGTGACTTTGCTTTCAGTTTCCACCTCAGCTTCTATGTGCAGTAGGACTCAGGTATTTTGAAACAACCTCTTTGTCCTGTGTAACCCAACATGTTTCAAGCACATAGTTAGAGGTACTTCTCAAGAAGTCCCAGGAGATGTGTATTCCCCATACCTTGTTTTCCAAAATACCTGTGGTCCTTGAGTTCCCCACTCTCAGCTCCACCTCTGTTGAGTACCTGTCCTTTCATGGCTCTGATGTGTGCCCAGGCAGTCGAGCGTGGCTTTTGGAGGCTGCAGGTATAACTCATCTAGAGGGAAGGGCTCTGCTGGGCAGGTGGCCCTATGGTACCAGGCTGCAGAGAGCTGTGGTTGCTTCTGCTGCCTGAGCTTTCACTGGTCCCAAACAAAGGTACTGGAGTCTGGATTTCCTGGTGCCACTCATGCTCTTTCTACAGGAGATTCTGCAGCTAGAAAATGTCTCTGTTATGATCTGGTTTACTGTCAGTACAGTGAGTAATGTTCTAGGAATGTATGACAATTTAATTATCAATTGTAATTGAAAGGCAGTTGAAGTGGAAAAAACCAAAACTAAACAGTAATTAGGAAAAGATTTAGATCTCCTTCGTCTTACCCAGCAAATTTATAGCCAATTAGAGTTGCCTGTTCATATAAAAGGAAAACATATCAGGAAACATAAAACAGATGTTTCTTTTTGCAAAGCAGATTGTGTCTTAATACACATATAAACTGACTGTCAGTCAGTGGTAGCAGATCTTTATGGAAAGGTCCTTCATTTTCCATCCCCTTGTCATAAATTAAGATGTGGAACTAGTGATGTCTTAAAAATAGAGAAATTAATTCTTTGATATGATGGGACCTGATGTAGTCTCTCTCCATGATATTTGAAAAGTTATAGCAGTCAGGGCAAGTCCCAGTTTCCAGACTGGAAGAACGGAAACATTTTACATCTTTAAAAAGTGTAGATCCTCCTTGCGGTCTACTGACCTGTCAGCCATCAGCCTCCCCTCTGTGCCTGCGAAGATCATGGAACACATCCTCCTGGAAGAGCTATGGTAAGAGACATGGAGGACAGGGAGGTGATTTGGGACAGCCAGCATGGCTTCACCAAGGGCAAGTCCTGCCTGACCAACCCAGTGACCTTCTGTGATGGAGTGACTGCAGCAGTGGACAAGGGAAGGGCTACAGATGTCATTTATCTGGACTTCTGTAAAGCCTTTGACGCAGTCCTCCACAACATCCTTCTGTCACCAAAACCCTACTGACTTTGAGGGCTCATCGGTCTCATCTTCAGGATACAACATTAAGCTTCTAAAGCTGTAATATGAGTGGGTTTTGTGTATAATACACTTTCTTTTTTTCCCTGAAGGTAACACACCACATAACTACTTCTTAATTTTATTTTCCATTTTTGTAGAATGTCACTTAAGACTATTTAATTAATTGCTTAACTGTCATGTTCCTTTATGTTAGTTTGTAGCAAGAAAGAAAAGACATTAAGGAAGAAAAATACATATTTGTTGTTTTTGTTTGGAAAACAGCAAAGCACATCTTTCTGTGGCATTTGAAAATAATATACAACAGAACAGTCACAACATAGTCAGAATGTTCATCATATGAGAGTAATTTTGTTTTTCACAAACTGTTTTTGTTCTTCCTTTCTAAGCAGTCTTAACAAATGAAACCAATCATACTTTCAGTAACACTGTGTATTACGGATTATTTCAAGAGGTTAATACATGTGTATGTGTCTGAAAATCAAACCCATTACTTAAAAAAAAAAAAAGGCTTTGTATAGTACATGCCTTGATGAAAATTAAAAGCAGGCAATACATTTAAAAATTGCTAGGGATATAGAACAATTATCACATAGCTTGAGCATCTGAGAATAATTTCAGTAGAAGTGGACCCTTCCAGTAATAATAAAAGCTGATAAATTCCAATCAGTTTTCCACTATGACAACTAATTTAGGAATTAGAGTATGACTTTATTTTTACACTGAAAATAAGAGCATTCAAAGATTTTCTCCATGAGCTCCACTTCCAATCAGCATTTTAGAATCTCACTAAAATCCCCCAGCCATTCCACCATCCTCCAAAGTGTTTGGGGAAATTAAGGTAATTCAAGCAAGGCACTTCATTTTCATGATTCTTTTGTCATATTTTAAGAAATAACTGTCAGTAAGAAATGACCTCATTAAAAAAAAAAAAAGTAGCATGTCATTCAGCCATATATGTATATTAATACTTATTTGTTATGGCCTCATTAGGTCTATTAGTGAATATTAGTGAATATTAGTGAACAGATTTTGCTTTACTCCATGGAAGTCCATGTAACTATTTGTGAATATTGCCCATAAAAATGCAACCAAAGCTACATTTAGATTCACAGTGAGACAAGAAATGCCGTGATTAGCTTTTAGCTTCCTGCTGACAAGAATATGCCTTGTCTCTCTGTAGATATGAAACATGAGTATCCTCCATCCTCCACGGACTGTGTAGGGTTTCTCTGTTATCAAAGAGATAACACAGACATAGTCTTATCAATACTAGGAGCTTTCATCTGATGTTTCTATAAAGAAACACCACAGGATGGGAATTGTAATTTGCCAGACTTGAAATTTGCAGTATGTGAGGACATGAACATTGTATGCCCCAGAATCCAAATCCGTTTTGTAAAGAATAGGTGTGTCGGAACTCTGCAAAGCAATCTTTTTTTTTTGTGTCAGGCACTTTTCCAAATTGCCTTGCTTTCACAAGTCGACCAACCATTAAATAAATCAATCTTCCTGAAACAAGTGTCTGGCTTAGATGGTTAAACTGTGGCCAGACAGCCTCACAGATTTTGCCTGTATCAGAAATGTCACAAGAATTAGTCTATTTTGATTTATCTGTTGGAGACAATGCAGAAATCTGCTTGCTTTTGTGCTGTGGGATTGCAGTGACTTTGGGATGGGGTTGGTATGGCACAGAGATGACATCTGATCTAGTAAAGAGCTACTGGTACAAAGTCAGTATCACAAAAACATGGAACAGATCTCAGTTGGCAAAATTTCTAACAGAGAAGTTTCTCTGGGTCATGCTTTTGTAGTCCAGTGGTAGTGACCATAAATTAAGATTTACTATATAATCAAGCTACCTCTATAAGCAACTTTAGAAGCTAATAAATCTCACATTACAATGCAGGATCTGCTGATTTTTCAGCACCACTGCAGTTGTATGTACCACTGGATACCACCTGCATCCTTAACTCCACAGGCTGCAGTGGTCAAGAAGTATGAGCTCAAACTATTTGTTGCACAGGGGAGGGACTTGACAGCCTGAAACAATCACCTGTGGCCATTCCCCTTCTAATTGTGGAGTGCTAGCAGCCCCACTTAAAGTGGTTGCTCTGACTCTCACTGGAAGATTACAGAACAGGTGAATACCTATTCATAGAAATGAAATATATATTAAAATTCCCTTAGTCTGATGCATTACTGACATTCAGAGAGAAGTGGAACAGATGCTGTGAAGTTAATATCCTTGACAGTGTTGTACTAGTCTATTCTTTCTCCTTCATAGGTTTTTGACTGTCACTTCCTTCCTAATGAAGTCAAATACACCCACAATGGCTGTCCAATTTTAGATGAAGACATGGTCATGCTTAGGCTGTACAGGTAAGCAGCGGTGGGATATCACACTTCACTGTTACCAGGAGCCCAGATGACCTCAGGAAGAGCAAACAGTCCATTTTTTCACAGCAGAAGCATGTTCTGCTGTACATGTTGTAACTACTTCGCTTCCGTAGCTGCATCATTAGTCAACAAGTGACCATCTGTTTACAGAAACATTTCTCACCATGTATTGCAGATACACTTGTGTAATGTGCATTATGTATTGCTTGCTTATGACAGAAACTCAGTGATTTTTCATTATGCTATTGAGAGTGACAACAGTGCTTTCAGATTTCTGTATATTCTCTGCTGTTCTGCTGATAGGGACAGACACTTGTATATACACAGAGAGTAACCTCTTCCTTCCCATAGTCACCCTGCTTACAAGAATGGGGAGTCATGTAGCAGGGTCTGGACCATGGCAGTCTGGGATTTGAGGGCAAAAGAGAGAAAGGGGTTCAAGTAATTCAGTTTAGAAGATAAGGACAGTGCCCAGTTCACAAAACAAAAGAAGATGGGATGGAGCATAACTAATTTTCTTCTGTCACTTGCAGGTTTACAGAAGTGGAAACATTTGTAGAAACATTCACCCTTCACGTGCAGTTACTTGAGCCAGACTGTAACATCATAAAAATGCGCTCCCATGCCCTGGAGGTCCCCGAGTACTATGGTCTGTCCAGGGTGATTGACAAGAACATTCTCACTTTTGATTATGACAGGAAGATAAATCTGGATTGCACCATTTCCATAATCTCTTCAGAAACCCACCTGCCTGCACATGGCCAGCTCACCACCGGGAAAGTGCAGCAAGAGCAGATTCATGGAGATCAGCCACAGAGCTTATTCCCTGGCACTAGTACGATGTGCTTCAGTTGTTTGCATTAGCATGTTCAAAGAGACCCAGCAGATTAAGTCTGCAGTAGTGGGTTGTTTCAGACATGCTGGGTAAGAGTGGGTCATGTGAAGTTTAATGAACAGCTTGAGCTATCATGGACATGAAAGGGATGTGAAATTTTTGTGGGATGCAATGCAGATCACAGATCTGGGTCAATAATTCCCTGATTGGAGTCTTTTTCTGGCTCCTAGACACATGGACCAATGTGACCACCTTGCGAGACCCAAGACTCAATAGAAACAGTATAAGGAGTTGTTTGAGGCATCAACTAACCAAGAGACCAAAGGATGATGAGGCTGGAAGATGTCAGTTGAAAACAAAATCCTGTAGGAAAAGTTAAGTCAGGAAAGGAGCCCTAATTCTCATCCCACTGACTTTCTATCAGAGTTAGTTTAGTTGTATAGACAGGTTCCCCTTGTCATTTTTCGCTCCAGTAACTGTTTCATTATTGCTTCTGTTGGCTTACAGAGCACAGCCTGGGCCAGCAGTGCAGAAACGGGAGCTGCATGCTGGGACTAGGAGCCATTCACAACAAAAAAATAAGCTGTGAAGAATTTCTGAGGATGGGGATTCGGTATCGACACCTTGACCCTCCCTCACCTGACACTGATTATATTCCTGTGAGGCTGGATCTCACAGACAGCAGAAGCAAAACTCTGCACAAGGTAGATTTTTATGCAAGATTACAATGTCTGATTGTCTTCCCATTTAAAAAAAAAAAAAAAAAAATTCATTGGTCCTTCTCACATTTGAAGAGAGATAGGGAGCCTTAAACTTTGTTCAGCTCCTAGAATGCTGCCAGCTGAGAAAATGAAAGGCATTATGTCCATGCCTCTATGCTTTGGCCATTATGTCTACAGAGAAACATCTCTGGTTGATTACTGTCAGACATAAGTAGTTTATCCTGAAAGATAAATTAATTCTGGCATAATTCCACATTTTTTATACAGCATGATCTTCAATGACTTTGAAATATACAGTAATTAACAAGCTAAGAGTTGTGTGAACATATTCAGTTAATAATAATTAATGGCTTGTGTATGCTTCTGTCAGATAAAGTTATTCATTAAACTCCCATCAAATTAAGTAAGTTGTTTCAGCCCCAAATTAAGGACACAAGTAAGACTAGTGAACCTGGAAGTCATATTTATGACATCTCAATACTTACTTTAGGTATTTTGCAATTAAAAGGTTTCAATTCTTTTTTTTCAAAATAATTATTGCATTAATGTGTACACCAATTCACTCCGTGAAGCTAGCAGAAAATGAATTTACTTTGTTTGCTAGACTTTGCCTTTTCAGTTGTCTCATTTTTTCCTGTTATAGACTGAGTATGCGTGGCTCCCTGTTCACATTAAAGGTGCTGTTCCCAACCAAATACCCAAAGCTGCCCCAATGGCAAAGTTCATCCTCGAAGTAGACCAATTTATTTTAACCCCCATTTCAACCACAACCATTGATGCTGAAGACAATGAAACTCCAAAGTCCCTGCTTGTATTCAACATTACCAAGCCACCTCCTCAGGGCTTCATCACTCACCTGTCTGACCACACAAAACCTGTTGGCTCCTTCACCTGGAGAGATCTCAGTGACATGCTCATTGCTTATCAGCCTCCAAATAACAGCCACACAGAGAGGAGGAATTATGAGGTAACAGTGGAATGTATGAACATTTGCTGTTTTAATCTCTGAAAGATTCAGTGAGCTGTAAATAAATGCATTTGTATGTAATGGATATTTTTCAGAAAAAAAAAGTTTCTGTAACTATATACAGTGCAGGAGCAGAGGTAAAATCTTTTACCATTTTCCCCTATGACTCATCACTTTAACTATCTAAAAAAATTAGATATTTATTACTGACTACTTAAGAATTTCTTTGCACTGAAATATTTTTAGCCACTCTGACTGAGAATATCTAAACAGGATGTTTATTTTATTTTATTTTACTTTTTTATAACGGGAATAGTGAAATAACAGTACTTGTAGATCCACTCAAGAGCCTTTGGAAAAATCAGTGGTGCCTTTTCCACACAGCTTTTATCCCTACATGACAGTACTCATCCCTGTGACTTCTGTAGAGGTGACATATTTAAAGTCATGAAAGATGGACCAGCTAAAGGTCAGGAGTGCCATTTGGTCTTACAGCCTACCTGCTGTGGCAATGGTGGCATACAGATAACAAAAAGGGACTCCCAGCAGTTCCTGGGAGTCCCAGTTCCTTCTGGGAGCGATAAAAGCATGTCATTAACACAGAGAACATGATGCAAATGATGAGATCAAGCTGCTGTCTGCAGCTTGTGGAGTAAGTTATAAAATAACTGTCTGGTAAGATAGTTAAGGAATTACCTGATCTAAACAAAATGGTTGGTACTAAAGTAATGAAACTGAAGAAAGAAAAGTCAGAGTAAGGTAAGCTGAGGACTTTTTTCACCTTGGCTGTCATAGGAACCTCCTATCTTTCTGTTTCCTTGGTGTGAGGATCAGACATCCTTCTGAACCATCTGCTCCTTAAGTGCCTTGTCTCTGTCCTGTTTTGAGCATAGTTTGAGTGCAGGTTCAAATATTTGACAGTCCCAGAGTTTGACAACTTAGGACTGTTTTTTTTTTTGTAATTATATTTTTTCTATGCCACTCCATATATTTTCTTTCATATTTGCTTTTGGTGCTATATGTCTTACAAGAGCAGGAAATGCCCCCACCCACTTTCATTATTGCTAATAAAAAAAAAAGTGTTATATTAATTGCTGAGTTAATTGTACCGCAAACAACAATGAAAATGCTTATCTTTCCCATTCATTTCCACACGCTGCAAACTAAATTCCTCGGAATTCACTGTGAAGAGCACAGAAGAGAGATAGTCTTCTAGTGCAGAATTTCAATGGCTTTTTTTAGAAGTTAAATCAAGTTTTGTTTATCAACATATTATCAGAAGCCTGTAAGATCTCTCAGAATAGAATGCACTATATGTGTTTTGAGGCACATTTGGTTTTCAGGGCCTTTATTTTTCAATAAACACTTCATCTGTTTTCACAACAGGTGGAGTTTGAGATTCATGACTTCTACTTTGAAAGGAGTTTACCAGTCACTGTCCATCTTTCTATCAGAACAACAGATACAAATGCCCCTCGGGTTTCATGGAATACAGGTGAGATCTCTCTTGTTCAGTTTATTTTGCTACAGAATTTATAACATTTTTTCACAGACATTTGACAAATCTCTAAAATTCAGATTTACACCTGGAGTTTAAGGATCATTAAACTGAAGGGGCATAAATCTGTTTTTTCCCTTTATCCATTTTGGAGGGAACATGTTATAACAACTTGAAAAAGATCTAAGATTTTAACTGGAATATAGAATAAAGAAAAATGGGAAAATCAGGATTTCTTTATACAGCATTTTCTTTAAGAACGAACTGTACATAAAAATGCTTAAATAGTAAGGACAAATGTACGATGAAATAGAAATAGTAGAGTAGCATGTGGAAAAGACCAAGGCTTGTTGGTGTTTAAAGTGGAAGTGTGCAAAAATGAACAACTGGGAAAAGAGGGCATAATATACCACCAGCCATTTAAAGCCTGGAAACCTTACAGGGTTAAGCCTAATTCAAACAGATTTATGATGCCTGCACTGTGAAGGGGAGAGGGTGTCCTGTTAGAGAGTGAAATGTACATTGATATTTAATCATCAAAAGACAAAAGTGTATCATCAAATGAGTCTTGAAGTTAATGTTGGAGAAAGTGCAGATTCCTCACCATAGAAAGGGAAGGAGCTGAGAGGAAGGCACCTCATGTCTTCCAGAGAAACCCACCTGAAATGACTGTCAGAATAGAACGCAGGAATGTTGTTCTCCGTCATGAAGATCAATATATATTTTTAAATGCAGACTCACGAAAGAAGCTGAGTGCCCAGTTTCAGACATTGTGAGATTTCAAGTGCAACACTCCTGTCTGTGCAAATGTCCAGAAATGTGACTTGCTAGTTTATCAGATAATTGGAACCAGATGTTGAGGAAACTTTCCTGTCTGATCGTTCAGATGGCCTCCTCTGTGGACCACATTTGCACCACCCAAGACTTTCACTGCTGTGACCAAAGCCCCTTCACAGCAGGCAGCTCCAGTGAGCCGATGGGTGCCCCTCTTGACTCCCTACACACACCACATTCACATTATCAGACTAGTTACTGGCTCGAACCCGGGTTTTCCATAGCAGAGTCCCAGATATCTGGTTCCTTTATGTCATTCAACTTGGTGCAACAACACAAAACCAGCTCAAGCTGAGTGTCTGTACGGAGGGTCCCTGAACAAAGGAATCTCTGGGCTTTTATACCCTCACAGTCTGTGTACTTGTCCCAGTGGTGATATTTCTTCTCAGGGGAATCCTTCAGTGCTTCTATGTGACCAGCCACTCCCTGTGCCCTTTGTTAGACAAAAGGTCTGTACCCATTCATGGCTCCTTTGCCTGGGGCTCCACCCATTTCCCCCCATTCAGGGCACAATGTGCAGTTTGCACACCAAGCCACCCACATTATGTGTATTGTGCAGCACCAGAATAGACTATTCATCTGAAAAAGGTGCCTTAAAGACAGTTAACTAAGGCAAGTATGTCAGAAGCTGTTATCAGGCTTTTAGCTAGCCTTAAAATCATAGCATCATGGAATCATCAAGGCTGGAAAAGACCTCCAAGATTATCAAGTCCAGCCTTCATCCAAAAATCACCAAGCCCACTAAATCATATAGCCATGTGCCATGTCTAGTTGTTTTTTGAACACTTCCGGGGATAGTGATTCCACCACTTCCCTGGAGAACCTGTTCTGATGTTTAACCACTCTTTCAATGAAGAAATTTTTCCTGATTTCCAACCCGAACACGGAATGCCTGTCGCAGGTAGGTGTGTACATGGAATTAAACATTCTGGTTTTTTTCCCTGTTTGTAAATGCCTGTAGAAGGGCTAGATGCTGACAACCTTGAATGTCACAGGTGCTTTGGTGATGTAATGCTCTGCTCTTTGCAGGCCTCAACCTCCTAGAGGGCCAGTCACGACCCATCACATGGCAACACTTCCAAATTGTAGACAATGACGACATCCAAAATGTTCACTTGGTCACTGTCGATGGCTTACAGCATGGGCGGCTCTCAGTGAGAGGTATGTCATTTCAACTCCAAAGACTGGGAACTTATCCTCTATGATAATGCAATAGCTCTACTCCCTCTGCTGACCGCCTTCCCCTGCTACAACCATGCTGGGCATGGGGATTAAAAAAGGAACATTAAAACATTTGGCATTTAAACCTTCACTTTCCTAATATATATTTACATTCCAAAGCTGAAATTTTAAAGAAATCAGCTATGCTTTCATTGAGAAGCATGATGGGTGAAATGCAGTCACTGCATTTTCATTTCTAAGATTTTTGCTTGCAAAATGCTAAAGAATGCCAGGTGATTTTGATTTATTGGAGAATACAGACAACATTTGGGTATGGTTGTTACTTACTGGCAGCTTTAAGGTTTATTTCCAAAAATGACAATTAAATTAGACTTCTAATTCATTAGCCTTCTGCCTTATCAATACTGCTAGTTTTGCTCTGCAGCCCATGAGATGGCACAGTGCTTGGGAGAATGGTTATGTAACAAAAGGCACTCTGCTCTTCACAAGGTGGGAACATCCTGCCACTGTCAGTGCTGGGTTTTTTTGATAGTTAGACACATTCATGTAAAATGCATAATCTAGAGACATAAGTCAAGTATTTAAAGAAAAGGGGAAGTTGATATTTGGAATTTAGTGGAAATAGAAACTACTCAGAAGTACATTTTATCTCAGGAAACTAATGCCAAGGAGTTAATTGTCTGAAAGATCATCCTCCTGTAAAACTACAGACACAAACTGTGTGGTGTCAGCAGTGCTGAGCAGGCTCAGCCCCAGAGGTGGTGTCACAGAGGGACTGTGCAGCCAGCCAGGGGCTGAAGGGTGGCTGCAGGCAGTAGAGCAGTAGACCAGCTGTGCCTGCAGGGCCAATCTCCTGGTGGCAGTCCCATACTTGCATGCTCAGTCGTTTCTCAGACTCCCGTGCATCAGTCAGGGCTGGATATCTCTTCTCCTTGTTCTCTTTTATATGTCTGCATAGGTACGTGCAGAGGAAACCATCAACACAATTTTTGGCAATTGTCTTCTTTTTTTATTTGTCTGGCAAGCACCAAATGATGTTCAAATCTTAAAGGAAAGCTTGGGTTTTTCTCTTGGAAGTCCTGGTGAGATCATACCTTTCAGCACCAGATTGCAGTTCTTGAAACCTTTAACTTGCCTGAATACTTGTCTGTATGCATAAAACATCTAGAGAAGCAGAGGTATAAAATTGTTTTATTATAGACAGTAAAAAGCCTCAATATACCAAAAAATCTACAAATTTTTTACTTGCAATGAAATGCTGAATTTAATTATAAAGCATATTCTGTTTGATGCTTAAAATACGCATAAAATGTTCTGATAAGAAAGTAGAGGTTGAAATTAGAGTGGGAACAGTCACAGTTAAAAATCCTTGATGTCTCCATCCAAGTTATCTTTAGTGCATTTGGAGGACTTTTTCTGCATTTTTATTAACTAGTCCAATTTCTACAAACTTGCTTCTGACAGGTGAAGTTACATTTGATTTTTCTAGTTGGAAATGCAGTGGTTTTTCTCTCCCCTAATAATATTCATATTGGTAGAAGGATTCTCTTCTGGGCTGAACCACACATTTTTGATGCATTTTCTTCCACTGTTTTGACAGGAGGGAAAGGATTCCTGTTCACAGTCTCTGACATTCAGGCTGGAGTTGTCCACTACCATCATGATGACAGCGATTCTACTAAGGACTTTGTGGTATTTAGAATTTTTGATGGCCCCCACAGTATTCGCCACAAACTTCCAATCAATATCCTCCCTAAAGATGACAGCCCTCCATTTCTGATCAGCAATATGGTTATTGAAGTTCATGAGGGACAGAGCATCCTGATTCAGGGCTCCATGCTTCATGCTTCTGACATGGATTCCAGTGATGATTACATACTATTCAATATTACCAAGCCATCACAGGCTGGAGAAATCATGAAGAAACCAGGACCAAACATGATAGGTAATGAAACACATCCATAACAGCATGCTTTTCTTTGTCCCCTCCTTTTTTATTTACATTAAAAGTTACAATCAGACAGATGACGATAATAATGCTAAACGAGGAGAAAGCTCTCCCTCCATGCAACTGAACTCAGAAATTCCTGTGCTAGACTGCAGAAGCTGCTACTCCTGCAAATTCTCTTCTGACTTCTGAACAAGGCTTTAGGCCTGTTGGCTGTGTTGCTTCATTTGTTGAGTCATCTCTAAGTGACATAGAAAAGAAGCTGATGATCTTCAAAGAATGTGGAAGATAATGAGAGAACATTTCAAGGGACTCGCCCTAGTTATGTTTAAAAAGAGGACATTATGCTTCACCAGTCACTTGCACAGCTAATGGATAATTTTAATGTACTACTAAAATCATGCACTGTTCAATAGAAGATATATTCTTCAATTCTACAGGGTATTCTGTCAACAGTTTTCTTCAGAGGGATCTATTTAATGGAATAATTTATTATCATCATTTGGGAGGAGAAGTATTCGAAGATTCCCTTGAGTTTGTGCTGTGTGACAGCCATGATCCTCCCAATCTCTCAGAGCCACAGGTATGAAACTGAAGCATCTTTGGCAGTCTGCTGCATTTTTCCTTCAAATGATGATCTGATGATCTTACATGTTCTGACAGGCTTTCAAATTGAACTGGTATAGATATTTTCAATTTGCCATCACCACGGTCATCACCGCAAACACTGTTCTCCAGAGCTATTTCTTGTTCTTGCTTTCCTTGGGGTAATTCTTTGCCTGGCGACAGAGAGACAAGTCCATTGCAAAGACTTTTTCCTACACTGCAGAGTGAAATGTTGAAAGCAAATTGTATTTGGAGACAGTAGAAACAAATTAAACACACCTCTTGAAGTCAAATGAGAATAACTATTTATTTCACCCAAGAGTCAAACATACTGAATTCAACTTTGCATTTAATTTAGAGGGAAACCACTAAGATTCATAAGCTTTGCATTAAACTCTTGTATACTTCATTACTCATGTGTTCGTGATATGGTATGATGGCCGCATCCTATATCTCATATTCCAGTGATCCACTTACTTCTGTGTACATGTTTGTAAACAGCTACTTGGACATTCTCTTATTGAGAGGAATGGCTAGTGATTTTACTGTCTTCCCAATTTCAGGTGTTGATGGTGCATGTTATTCCTGTGGATGATCAGCTACCCAGAGAAGCCCCAGATGTGACCCGTCACCTGGTTGTTAAGGAGACTGAGATTGCTTACCTAACTAAGAAACATCTCCACTTCATAGATGTGGAAGAGCAAGACAGGGAGCTCACATACACCATAACCACTTCCCCATTTTTCTCTTGCACCCATAGGTAGGTGCAACCTGATATAACTTTCAGGTGGGCCAGGGCAATGACCCATGTAAGAGGAGCAGCCTCAGTGGCAGTAACATGCTAGTGCCTCAGGTTCCTAATTTTTTGCTGAAAGGGCAGGCGACAATAGCTGGTTGCAACTCTCTTGTTGATGATTAAGGGTAAGCTAGAGCTTAAAACAACAGAGTAATACATAGTGTAATAAAAAAACCCAATGCATAGTTTAGCAAGAAATAAGAAGCAGGAAAGCATCTGAAATATTTTCTTTGTTGGATATTCCTTTTACACTGTTGTGGGATCCTGTACAGCCTCAAGCACAAGTCACAGCACCACTTCTAACTGTTAGAATGAGGCTGACCTGTGCCTGCCCCAGACTAAGATGAGATGCTACAGCTTTTTCAAGAATGTGTGTTATTACCATGGCATTGTGAAGGACTCCTGGTCCTGGACTAGGAAGCTGTGGAGCAGAATGCAGGTAGAACAGGTTCTGGGGGCAATTAGGGGTATGGGATGAATAGGTGTAGTAGCAGTTTATGTCACTGATGCTGCAATTTCATTGCAGCATTGGCAACAATTTGCTAAATGAAAAGTTTTAAATCCAGACATTGCATGGTTTAAGCTGAAGATCAACGCTTTCAATTTTGACCTCAAGCAACAGAGGATCAGTACATAGCTGGAGGAGAAGGACATTTAGGCTCTTCCCCTAGTCAGTCAAATAGCCATATAGTAATCCAGTTTGCTGGACACTCCTGTTGGAAAGCCACGTTACTGGAATCTAGTTCATTTCAGAGTTTATAAGATGTAAGAAAACCAAAAATTATTTATTTTTCTACTTAAAGATAAATGAAGGTGTGCAAGCAACAAGAATATGATGGACTAGACTTTCAGGTGGTGTAAATGGTATCTGGGATGTGTAGAGACACACTTGTAGCAATCCCAGAGCTTGCTCATAAAGTATGAGATGATTTTTCATAACCATCCTGAAAAATACTTCCTGTGCTCAGTTTTCTGTGATAATGTTTAAATGAATAACAAGGATAGAAGAAAGAAAAATGGTTTTCCTTTCAATGCAGGAGTGGGAAAGTAATTTGAAATTCAAGATTGAGCTAAGTGACTGTTTTTTTCTGTTCTTTGGTATTGCTGGCCAGTATGTGACATACATATTTTTGTGTAGCTACTCAGATGCTGGGAAGCTGGTAATGGTGGACACTCTCCCCAGATTGGTCAAGGATCCTGCTGCTCTTGCACTGCAGTCATTTACTCAGGTTTGTTATGTTATCTGGTATCATAAGCAGTTCTAAACAACGTAAAAAAGTTACAAGTGTTCAGCTTTTTTTTGACAGGAAAACAAGAGGTGGAAAATAAGCACTATTGCTTAAGAAGCTCAAAACTTTGTTATTTCAATACCAGCTTTCAAAACAAATTTCTATCATGCTTCAGTCTTTCAATATGTAAACACAACTCTCCTAAAACCAATAGGGTTGCAGTTGCTTAAGGCTGAATTTGGCTTCGTCTGATTTAAGAGGAGGGAAAAAACCCACAAAATTTGGAAATGAGACCTTGAACAATTTCCTGCTGCTTCTCAGTGTCTCCACCAATAGATGTGGCACAGTATAGCCGGCTGGAAGAGGTGCTTTTCAGGATTTTGTTGTTCAGTTTTCATGCTTTTGTAGTTTGACAAACAAGTATTACTAAAGTGCCCTGTTTTATATCCTGCTGTGTGGCTACAGTTGCATAATGGTGATCACTGCAGTACCATATCGAGAGCTCTGACCTTACAAACCCTTAACTGTGTGCCTAATATGGGTGTCTGGATGCAAGATTTTGATAACTATTGTAGCCTCTTTCACTAGCCTGCCCTCACTGAGGGACACAGGACATGCAGTTGCTATTCACACTGGTGAGGGCAAATTCAGCTGCTGGGGGAGATGTTAGCTTTTATGAATTGTTTATTTTAAAGTCACAGTTAGAAAAGGTCCCGGGACCAGTGCTTTTAAAGGGCTTCATCAAGAGGGTAAGGTTATCACCTCTGCTATCACTTATAAACCGTGTCTATATCTTTCGCTATAGGTCAAGTATTTGAACATGTAGTCACCTAATTTGTAGCTAAAGATGCATTTAATCAAGGTATTGCTGGTAGCAAAATAGTGCAAAATTTCAGGACTTAATTTTGACAGTTGGAGTAACATCCAATCAGGGGATTAGAAAGGTTCTTAATGTCATGAATTATGGATATTCCCATTATCTACCCTTACATGCACTCCTCTTCTCTTTGCAGCATGCTGTGAACTATATGAAAGTTGCCTACATGCCACCACTGCAGGACATCGGTCCTGAACCTCAGCAAGTCCAGTTTATTTTTTCCATCAGCAATCAGCATGGAGGTACTTTGTATGGGATCTGCTTCAATATTACAATTCTTCCCGTGGACGATCAAGCTCCAGAGGTAGGGTGGTGGTGAAAGGGACTGGGTGAAGGACTTGGGAATTGCTTCATGTTGAAACAGAAATGTAGAGAGATATCCTAATTTGACTGAGATAAAAAATAAATCTTCCATGGGATCAGGTTTTCAGTGTCTTGCACATGGCTTGCATTGGGATGGAAGTGGGAGGTGAAGTCTGATGAGTGTGCAGTGTGATATTTTGTGCTAAATAAACTGTGGACTACCTTTGGCATCTGTGTATCTGGTCAAAAACACAAATGTCACATCCTGCTTAGCAAAACTGCTTATTGCCTATGGAGGCCAGGAGCCTCCATGAACGGGATGAGAATTGGGATACTCGTATCATGGCCCACTAAGGGTAACCTCCTATGTTTTTCTAACACAGTAGAAAAGAGTATTTGGCATTTTGGTTTTTAAAGTGGCACACATCCTTATATCAGAGCAAATGTGAATTGCCCTGTTCAATGTATGTTTGGAGGTGCAGTAGAAAGGAGAGCTCAGCATTTCTCCTCCCTGCAGGTTTTGACAAGCCATTTGAGAGTGGAAGAGGGTGGCCTGGCCCCTGTTACAGAGGGACACATTCTCATCTCTGATGCGGACACAAAACAGGAGCATCTCCTCCTGCTCCTGCAGAGGCAGCCTCAGCATGGGGTGGTGGAGCTGGATGGCATTCCCATGAATGAAGGCAACAACAGGCTTTCCTGTGAGGACCTGCGTACCCTCGCAGTCAGGTTAGAAGAGTGGTGGCTGTCTTTTGTGTGGCTGAGTCTCAGTCGGATGAGCAAAAGCCTGCACTGAAGTGGTGCAAGGTGCAGAGTCTACAGCTAGCAATGTTCACCACAGCACAGCTCTGGCAGAGCTGCTCCAGGCCACGATTCCCTGAGACTGCAATGTCACCATGCAAACGAGCTGTTTTGTGGCCAGGAAATGGGAGTTAGCACCCATGCCTGATGTAGAGAGGTTTCTCTATAAAGCACTGGCCTATGCAGATAAGGAGGCAAATTCTATATTCAGCCATGCAGTTCCTGTGAAGAAGGCAATAGTTGCAAGCTTTTTTCTTTTAAGAAAGTTGTATGTTTATTAAACTTGCTTAGTTTACAAAAAAAACTTGGGTTAACACTGATTAACCTGTAGTTTAAAATTTTGCTTTTCTATTTGTGGTAAGAGCAAGACATGATTTTCTGCGTGCATGCAGAGTTAGAGTTCTCTGACTCTATTTCCATTTGTTAGTCAAAGTGGGCACTTACCACAGTGAGAACATAAATGTTTGGTAAACACCTCACAAGCAGCCAGGACATAGATGACAAAGACATAGATGACAAAGCCACAGGGAAACCTTTTTCCCAACTGATGTATGGTTTACCTTGGGGCTTTTCCTATTGTAAGAGACCTCAAAAGCCCTCTGGAAATACTCTGATCCAGAATCAGCAGTATTAGGGACACAGGTAGCAGTTTTTTATACTGTTAGGGATACGCATTGTAGGGTATGATCAGAAAGCATAGCTTCTCTTTTTTTCTGTGAGAAATCTGTGTAGCTCTTTAATTTTTTTTCACAGATATCGTCATGATGGTTCTGAGACTCTCACTGATGATGTTCTCTTTGCAGCCACAGATGGCATCCACTTTGTTGAGTTCATCCTGCAGGTCAAGGTCAGTGCATTGCATGTTTCTGAAAGCAATTGCCTGTGTAGAGGCAAAGGGTTTAAATCTTGACTTCTGAAAGTCTTTGCTTTCCCTTGGAAACTGAAAGATAATGGATGTGTTAAGCTTCTATTTCAACTCTAGCTTTCAGATTCATGTGGCAAATTTGAGAGGAACTTTGACTTGCACTAGCTAAAAGGCATCTGTTCTTACTCTAGCTTGGGTTATTCTATCTGCAATTACTCACTTTATACTTAAACTATAATTATCTAGTTTGGTTTACTTTTGTCTTTTTATTTTTAATTCAGCTGGTTTCTTTGTGTTTATAGAGAAAGCTCAGTGTACTCTGATACTGATACCATACTGTTTGGGTGGCAAAGCAGTATGTTGAAACAACTGGCTTCACTGAAGTGAAAAATAAAAAATTCTTAAATTGTTCTTCTGATTAGGTGCTGCCTGTGAATGATGAGCTACCTGTTATGCGAACAGGCCTTGTTCCTGTGCTCCACTGCCTGGAGGGTGAAGAAGTGGTCATCTCCTCAGAGTACATTTCTGCTACAGACGCAGACAGTGATGACATGAAACTGATGTTTATGCTGCCTCGCCAGCCCTACCACGGGGTAGTGAGGAAAGCTGGTATTGCTGTGGATCATTTCTCCCAAGCTGATGTCATCGCTGGTTTAGTCACGTACAAGCACACTAGTGAGTTAAGGACAGAACTACAGTGGAAGGTGGTCAGAGAGGCTTTAGCAAAAAAATCTTAACCCAAATCCGTTCCTTTGCACAAGTTCAGCCGGAACTGCTGAAGAACCACATGTTGTGGCTAGGAAAAAAATAAACTGACTTCAGAAGAGAGCTGATGATAGACAACTACCAAGTGTTTTAATATGTTCTCAAAATTCACATTTCAACTGAAAATTATATTAGAACAAGTACACGAAAGCACCATAATCCTGGAGCATCTCTTTCACTGTTGCTAACAAAATGTCTTGGGCTTTTTTAAAAAAAAATATTATTAAGTTAGGTATAAACTAGAGTGTTTTGATGTGTTTCATGACAGTAAAAAACCCTTTTGGTACTTCTTACTTGCCTCTCCAATCTAGAAGGATATCTACTTTTGGACAATTCATAGTCTTTCTGCATCATAAGATAAATGAAGTTCTGATCTTCATGAGAAACACAATGCTAAAAAGGTGTTATATTGCAGTTTTATTGTTAATACTTTTATTGTTAATACACAGAAATCAAGCTAACTTCCTTTCTATTAATTTTGTATTTTCATTAGCATTTTCTACATCTCTGATTAACAGCTTTATTTTTTTTCCAAAGGTGCTCATTTTCTGTTGAATTATTCTGTAATTTTGTGTTAGCATGAAAGATAGATGTGATATTTTCAAGCTTGGCACTCTCTAAAATGAACAGCTGGTATTTGAGAAGGAAGTCTTGATTATGGCCATCCACAACAAATTTTTCTCCTGTGTCCTAAAGATACCAGGAACTGTATTTCAATGACAGTATTTTGCAGGGGCAATGAAGTTTTACCTTCAAGGGTGTATGTAGTGCTTGTGTTTTTCATTCCCAAATTTCTACACATTAAATGTACTGCCAGTAGATATCACAAGAGAGTGTGGGAGTCACTGCCTTTCCTTTGTAGGCAGCTTGTTAGTAATATTTTGCAGCAATGCAAGACACAGGCTGCCAGAAGTGCTGAGAGCCGGAAAACTCTGAGTCACAGATGCTTCTTGCAAGGGGGGGCAGTTCCCAGTTGTGTATCAGCCCACATTTTGAATGTCATTACACACAGACATAATACACAGTTCAGTAACAAAGCACAGCCCTTGTTGTAGTCCATTTTGCAGGGATTAGAGGCACATAGGAATACATGCACTACTTGGTATACAAAAAAGTTTTCTTCCGGAAGAGTATGGGTATTAGCATTTGTCATAGAGAGAGCATGTATAAAAGAAAGATTTTCCTACATTCTTCAAGAAGGAATGCAGAAAAGGCTCTTTTTCTGCGCAATATACGTTTTCCATGTGCCTTAGAGCACAAAGAACATAATCATGAGAACTATTAGCCATTTTACAGCAATGAAATATCATAACATGGCAATAATAAATTTATAACTATTTGTAATAATAATAATACTTATTCTCTTTTCTACACTGTCTTACTTCAGAATAGAAGTGAGCTGGTTAAAATTAATTACAAACAACAAACCAAATCCCTAAACAAACAGCACCCCCACCAGGCAGAATCAAGAATTCCTGTAATTTTGCTCTTGCTTTCTTTTTTCTTCTGACTTTGAATACTGAAGACTGTCCTTTCAGGATAAAGATTATTCTTCACGAACTTTCAGTAAAACATTTCTTCTAAACCTCAATATTTTTTTTCAGGTGGGGAGGTTGGCCTGACTCCTTCCATTGAGATCTTAACCTTCATTGTCTCTGATGGTGAAGCTGGCCTAGATGTGAAAGACTGCTGTTATGATGGACCTCTTCCTCCTCCAGTTTCACGTCATGATCCATTTCCTGTGTATGACCTTAACATCACTGTACTTCCAGTGGACAACCAGCCTCCATCTATTGCAACTGGTGAAAGCTTCCTCTCACTATGGCATTATAAAGTAGGCTATGCAGTACTGTAATGGTTAAAGACTCAGGGTAGTTTTTTGTTCTTTGCTTTTCAGCATTAGAGAGAGTCAGTTGAGATCAACATATAAAAGTTTTGGATCAGAATTTTTTCCATCTTTTTTTTTTTCCTTTTGCTAGTGCAGTGCAACCACCCAGTCCAACTGCCAGTGTGAGTATGAGTAACTGCTCATTGCTCTTCAGCTGTATTAAGTCATGTAGTTACAGATGGGAGTGCTCGGATCTGCTCCCCTCCATCTCTACATGCCCACTGCTGCATATATAAGCTATGCCTAGGTAAAAGTGAGCAATATTTTGTCCATGAAATGAGTTCAGGGTCCAGCAACTGTCAGGCTTTTACAGTGCAAAAGCATAAACATAAATATCTATCTACCTTTGCATGTAAAGTATATAACAGAAATTTGGGCCTTATATGAAGGGAGAGAATCGTTATTACCTATATTACCAATATTTAATTCTTTTAGTGAATAAAGACAAGGATGGCTGTATATTAATAGACGTGAAGCTACATTTTCACTAGGTCTCTTCAGAATAGAAAAAAACCCAGTTAAAATGGAAATAGAGTTGATAATGTACATTTAGTCCAACAACAGCCCATTGTGTGAAATCTCCATTGATTTCCTGGGCTTTTTATGAGGTCTCTAGTATACATATTAAAGGTATGTTTGCCAAATGTTTGTGTTTTTCAATGTCATTTGCTTGTAAGCATATATTGTAAGGTATATATTCAAGAGCATATATTTGTAAGGTATATATTACGTATCTCAGAGAATATTTAAGCATATCTATGAGTAGTTTTGTAACTTGCGGGCTCTCACCCAAGTAGTGTTCTGGAAATGAAGCATTGTCCCAGCAGGGAAATTAAGCAGTGATGCATGAAAAATTGTTCATTATGAGCAATTCTTAACAGGTCTCATAAAATTAATGCTCTGACAAACAGAGATAACTGCTGATTTTGAGCAGTATATAAACCATACCTAATAACTTACCAGTAAAATAATTTCATGATCCCCTTCTTCTCTACTTCTGTGATAGCAAGAGCAGAGTTGCCAGTGAAAGCAGAGAAAAAGATTCTAAACCAAAACCCTCCAGTAACTAAGCATTTGTTGTATTTCCCCCCTTAGTTATTATTTCCACTCTTGTTAACAAAAACAACAGTGAAATGAGGTAAATAAGCAATAATGAGTATCATATTGTTTGTGTGCAGGTGCAAGTTTTGCAGTGGAGGAGGGCTCCTCCGCAGCCCTTACAACCAACCACTTGTTTGCCACTGACCCTGACACCACTGCAGATGACTTAGAGTTTGTGTTGGTTTCTCCTCCCCAGTTTGGTTACATTGAAAATATACTGCCTTCTCCTGGCTTTGAGAAGAGCAACACTGGAATAAGTATAGGTAAGTCTTAACAATTTGTGGTAATCAAGCAGATGGAGGATTGTGCTGTGGGCTCTGGTGGTGCAGCTGCAGGTGTGGGCATTAATATGAGCTTATTTAGAGAAGCAGGTGCTGGCAAATGAAGAGCAGTGGGACTGTGTGGGTGGAGTTCAAAGGGAGACTGCAGCCCTGCAAATGTGAAAAATTGGCTCTTGAAATAAACAAGCCAAGCCTTGTTTTATGCATTCCAGCTGCAGTCTATTAGAAGTGGCAATACAGGACATTAATCTGCTCTTCCTACCTCTCACTTCACTCCCCCATGAAAATCTCCCACATGTCCCCTCACCAATACATTTGTCATCTAAGTGTAGTAAACCAGGTCTCACATGGGTTTCCAAGGCAAAGTTACAAAGGCGATGGAGACAGTGGTTGACTTGGGTCTCTTCCCTTGTCCGCTTTCAAACATCGTTTCACCATCAGGAGAATGGATTGTGTCATGCTTTGTAATGCTACCAGCTTTTACCAGTTTCTTGAGCTGGAAACCTGTAATCACTGAGCCTTTTATCCCCATTTTTCTCATCTGTTGGTCAAAAAACAGTGTAATGAGAATCATACAGTCATAGAATCATTTAGTTTGGAAAAGACCATCAGGTCCAACCATTAACCTAGCACTGCCAAAGAATCATGGACCTTAGACCTTTTCCTACTTGTTATTTTGAATTGTTTTTATGTGGGCTCAGTTTTTCAGATGAAACTGAGAAGTATGAATATGTACAGTCCCACCAGAAGCAGAATGATGTATTTTTGTTTTGGGGAGGGGCATGTGTCCTGCAGTGTAACTAACTCTTAGAGCCAAAAAACGAGTGAGAACTTATCCAAGCTATTTATTCTTTGAAAAAGGACAGTTTCAAAGTTTTTTAATGATATATATGACTAGAGGGTAGGAAAAGATTGTGCTAACTCTTTTTCTTTTTAAAATCTCTAGCTTCCTTTCAGCTGAAGCACCTGAAAGCCATGAATATAAACTATGTACAAGCCAGGCATATGCAAATGGAGCCAACAGAGGACAAGTTTGTACTTTATGTCACTGATGGGTTGCATCGCTCAGCAGAGACTCCATTTTTTGTGCTGATCACTCCAACCAATGATGAAGTCCCTGAATTCATAGCCAGGAACATTAGTGTAAGGAAATAAGCAAAATGCCTGTCATAGAGTTATTGAAAACAGAAAAGACTCTTTAATATCAATAAGATCATTGTTCTGACTCCTGTTCCTCTGCAACTTTCCCCTTCTTTGTGTAGTCAGCCTAGTTCAGGAAACAGCCCAGTTAAATCCTATGTAAGCCTGTTAGACAGAGCTTCAGTGGGATAGAAGCAGTTCATAGCTCTTTCTGAAAATCTGCAGTTAGGTAAAAGAAAAGGTTCAAATCTTTAAACAAATACGTAATCTAGAAAACAGAAATATCTTTATGCTTCAAGAGCTTTTACAGTTTTTCCACAGCGTATTTTTTTGTTCCTAGTATAGCTTTTCTCCTCTCTGAAGACTGTTTTTCATATAAATAACTCTGTGAGCACCATGCTAGGGTAGTGTTAGCTAATCTTACTGTAAAGTAAAAAGTGCATGTATATGTACAAATTTACATGCATATGTATTTTTAGATGTATTTATGTATTTAAAGGCTTTCTCCTTTGTGCATTTCTGAGCACTTGATTTGACACTGACTTATCTAACATCTTTTCATTTAATTGGGGCAGATATGAACTCCTTATCTCAAATTCTCTTTTCATCATTGTAGCCATTTACTTCTCTATGTCTCTTAAACTGGTTGAAATCAGTAGCCAGGTCAAAAAGCTACTGGGAAAGGGGTGGAGGAAACAAAGAGATACACTTGCCCCTACTTAGGAAACCATGATGAAATTCTATTATTTCCTTTTATGTAAAAGGATTGGATATTTTTTCTTTCACGTTCAGGTTCAAGAAGGGCAGATGAAAGAGCTGGATCTCTCGGTTATCAATGCGGTTGACTTGGATGTACCTCAAGACCATTTGGTATTTAGGGTTGTGCAGAGGCCCTGGTACGGATTCCTTATTAATGGAATCCATGGCAATGATATTCTACACTATAAACAGTTAATTAACCACAATCACCACAGCCATGGGTTGCTTGTTCATGACTTTTCCATGGAGCTACTGAAGAATGGTAGGTGCAGCATTCTTCTGATATTGGTCTTTCATTCCTTTAATGAGGCAAGTGGCACACTAAGAAACTTTCATCACTTATTTATGCACTTGCCTTATATATTTTCAAGACAGTGTTTGGTAATGGAAGTTGACATATTTAATGCTGTTGTTGTCTATTGTTTCTAGGATCTATCAATAAAATCATCCTGAGAGACCTATGTGTCAGAAAGAATAGTAACATATCATCAAGCAGATTTCTAAATGTTTGACAGCACCTAAAACAGAGACAGCAAACAGAGACACATTAACTGATCATGGGGTTAAGTATTTCTCTAAGTGATCACAGAATCGTAGAATCATTGAACAGTTTGGGTTGGAAGGGACCTTTAAGGAGCACCTGGTCCACATACCCTGCCATCTTCCACTAGACCAAGTTGCCCAAAGCCCTGTTCAACATGACCTTGAACACTTCCAGGGACATGGCCTCTACAACTAAACTAGACAAACTGTTCCAGTGTCTCACCACCCTTATTTTGAATCCTTTTTTTCTTATGTCCAACCTAATCCTACCTCCTTTCAGTTTAAAACTCATGCACCTTGTGTCACTACAGGCATTGGTAAAAAAATCTCTCTTTATCTTTCCTATAAGCCTCCTTTAGATATTGAAAGGCTGTGATATACCTCCATATGTCTAACAATAAAGGTGTGAACTGGGGCTCTATAGCTTAGCATGATCAGTCAATCTGCTTTGAAGCCGCAAATCCCTTTCTAGTACATGTAATCAAAAAGTCTACTTAACACTGCCAAGAATATAATAGATTCTTCACTAAATAGATTGTTGCTATTTAGTGAAATGTGGAATCTATTAATCTAAAGAAAGACATGAACTCACTACTGCCACTCAAATTTCAGTTCAGCCCTCAAAAAAATGAGGAAAGATTTTTTTGTCTCTCTGCCTGTCTAATATGAACATTGAGGAATATCAAGTGTCCACCCCAAATTCCTCAGCCTTCCCAAGTCCTGATTTTGACTCTCTTCCTTGGCTGTTCTCTCCCTTTTGCTGTCCACAATGGTGAACAAGCCACCTCCAGCTCAGAACTTCTGACTGTACATGGTCATAGACACAAGGCCAGCTGTCCTTCCCAATGCTTCCTTAAAGCTTCCTTAGGATTATTTAGAGCACAGAAAAGTATTGACTCACTCTCTCTATAGTCAAAGTTATTTGGAATGTGGAGAGGAGAAGAATGTGCCTTTTTCAGATTGACTGAGACCTCTTTTGGAAAGAGTCACTTCTTACTTAGGTCAGACTGGTGACTTTGACTCAAGAGTATGTTGTTAGATTAATTAACAGCAGTGGCTTACCAAACTTCAGGTAGCTGAAAGCAAGTTTACATTGACCAGGGCATAGGGGAGGGAGATAAAATAAGAGTGATGGAAGCAGAGTGAAATGATGTGATATATTTTGCAGGAGTCAGATTTAGTTTTTCTTTCTGTTTCTCTCTCTCTCTCTCTCTCTCTCTCTGTGTCTCTCCCTCACTTTCTCTCTTCTTTTTCTCCCCCTTCCCAACCCATACAGGAATGAAGCTGATGTACATGCATGACAACTCTGAAAACCTCACTGACAGCTTTAAAATCCAGCTATCAGATGGAAAACATAAAGTCCTCAGAACCATTTCAGTAAAGGTCATTCCGGTTAATGATGAGAAACCACTGCTGAGCAAGTAAGTCACATGTTCCTGTCTCTGACAGAGGAATGTGTTCAGATAAAATGATGGAAAAGTGATCAAAACAGCAAATCATAGAATCCTTAAGGTCAGAATAGACCTTTAAGATCACCAAGTCCAACTGTTAACTAGTACCCTACCATGTTCACCATTAAACCATGTCCTTGGTGACTGATTGAGAGAAGAAGCCATAACTAGTCACAGACTGATGCCAATCTAGGTCCTTATCAGCCTGTTTAAAAAAAAAAAAAAGAAAGAATAACATGCTTTAATGTTGATCAATATTAAATGGAGTTAAAAAAAAAAAAAAAAGGAGTGTGTGTGGGGGAACATGCTTGTTGCATCTTTCACAAGTTGCTTCAAAACGTTTGCCAGACACCTCTGATCTTCATGCACCTCTGCTGAACTTTGACCACCGTGGTACTGTATTCCCTTTCCCTGAGACAAACACCTGTCTAAAACACCTCTCTGAAAGCAACTCTGGATTTTGGCATGAGAGAATCCACAAAGCTGATGCATGGGAAAGGCTTTCAGATGAATGATTCTCTTCTTCTATATATTCTAAAGCTCAACCATAATTCAACTTGTGGAAAGATACACACTAACTTCCCTTATGCTTCAAAACTAAGGGTCATAAATGAATTAGACATGATCAGAAATTGCCTGGCAGATCATTTGTAGATAGGCATCTGGCTTCAAGAGAGCCAAACCTCCTGGACATTTTAAAAAGGAGCTCATCTCTTGGGATCCCCATTTTTTTAACTGATAACTTGTCACAGAGCATCAGGGCCTCCATCCTTGTGACTGTTTTCCAGCCCCAGACAGGCAGATGGGAAGCTTAGAGCCCAAAGGTGTCAGGGGTATAGGTCTGAACCTCTGATGTTTGCATTTCAGAAACAACTTGCAACCTGTTAAGCAGGCTGCCACTAAAGTGGAAATTTTTGATCTCTCAGAATATTTGGCCTATTTTCAGATCAGACTTTTATTTCCCATTGAAAAGAATTTTTTATGTTTTGTTTACCACGTAGAGCTTCCTGCAATAACAAATGTTAGTTTTTTAGTTGAAAGATTATCAGTGACCACATAATGCTAACAAGAGAACATCCACTTTTTTGTTAGAATAAAGCGTACAGTTTATGTATTCATATATCGTGTACTGATAATTACTGATAATTGTCTATTTGTTCCTCACGTGCTATAGACTGATGTCATTTTCCACCCTTTCTCTCTGAAAGAAGATGATGAAGTGCAAGAAGTCGAGTGTTTTTAGCTTTGCCCAGCTAGATTCAGAAACTGTTGCTGCCTTGTCTGGCAATGTTAGGTCTCACCATTTGCCATTTCTATGGTGAACAGTAGCACAGAGTGAGCCATCTACTCACAAAATAGCTATTTCTTTATGAAGTTACTGCCTCTTGCCTGTTACTCTTCCACTAAGATGAGGTATGCTGCCAGTAGTTAAGCAGTAAGTGCTTTAAGGAAACATTCAGTTTGGCGCTGAAGTGGTTTAGCTGCCACATTCAGTCACCACATCTTTACTGTAGGGTGCAAACTTCCTTAAGCTACTGCAGTGTTTTCTAGGTGACCATTTGACAATACCTGCAAACTTTTTCTCACTTTTTGATCTGGGAGCCCTTTCCACCTCAGGGATTTTCAGTTCTCATCTCCATTAGTTACAGACTGAAGAACTTGGGATGGGATGTTTTTGGCTGGCAAACAGTGCCTCTTATTCACAGTGATTGCCGATGCGCTCAATTTGTCACCTCTTGGCTTGCATCCTAAAGCAGGGTGTGCCCTTGGGGAATGTAAAGCTTTCACACATTCCCTTGAGAACTTCTTATGGAGATAAGATGTGGGTGCTAGAAGGAGCACACAGAAGAAGCCAGTTAGACCTTTATTGTGTCTCTTATAAGTAAAGGTGAACAGTGAAATACTAGTTATTTGAAAGACAGTCTTTTCCCTAGTGAACATTAGAGCCAATATTGCTGTGGTCTGTAGTAGCAGTACTGTATAAAGCAGCCTATTTGTTTACATTGTCCTCTTCTTACAAATTGTATGACAGTAAACAGAAGGGGAATAAGACAGACATAGTAAATCCCAGTTTGTTGTAAGTTTCTGCTTTGTTGTTTTTCACCATTGTAAGGAGAAGCTTGCCTACACTGCTTTTTTTTTCTCTTTTGAGCTGAAATAGGCACACCCCCCTTCTATTCTTTCTGCAGTTGTCATTTCTGTCAGCATCTGGGTAATCTATATTCCTGGCAGAGAAATCACATGTTGAAAAGGTTCCTTTTATTGCATCAATACAAGACTTTTATTTTTTGCAGGAAGAATGATATAGAGGTGAATATAGGTGAAACTCGAATAATTTCTAGTGCTGTTCTGTCAGCGGAAGATAAAGATACCCCCAGGGACAGAATTTACTACTTATTTGAAAGACTTCCAGAAAATGGTCAGCTTCAGCTCAAGGTTAGTCTTTGTACTTCAACAAAAAGCAGGCATGCAAAGAACTCTTTCTTTTTAGGCTAGAATGAAGTTCATATTCCTTTTCTCCCAAATGTCTGTCATATTTTGATGTAGACAGCTGTGGCCAGTTTGATTGCTGAAGGAGTATTTAAATCAAAGAATGATGCTGTCCCAGAGGCTTTGACACTAAAAGCCCAGATCTTCAACAGGAGGAGAGTGAAAAGCATGGCAGATCATCTGAGGTGACAGTGGAGAGAGATGCTGGGATAATCAGCCCACTAAAGGGAAAATCAAGCATCAAAGCTGGGAGAGGGCAGAGGAAAAAGTCCTTGATAAAAACCAAATAAAAATAAACCTTTACTTCAGTGTTCAGAAAGCACAGAGGGAGTTGTATGTGGAAGAGTGAGTAATAACTCAGGAGTTAGAAGAAGAGTATGAGAGGAAGGAAGGGGAAAAGAAGATGGAAAGGGTATAGCAAGAGGAAAGGCAAAAAATAAGATTAGAAATGGAAGGAGAGATGATAATCTATTGACCGAAGACAAGCCAGAGGAACCAAGATAGAAAAAAATGTCTCTTTTAAATTGCATGCATATATAAAAGAAAAAAAAATCCACTTCTAAAACCTCTGACCTTGGAAAGTATTTTGATGCTGGATTCCTACATGGATCTGTGGATCACACAAGACTTGTGAATTAAAGGGGTCCCATATACTGAGGCGAAAGGCAGCTACTAACTGGAATCTGTCAGTTTGAACATGTAGGGTACATGCATATATCTAAGCTCTCTGTCCTTGATAACCTTTGCTCCAAAGATAGTAATGCTGTTCCTGCAGACTAAATGTCGACTATGTGGATCAATCCAACCTAGGGTATGACACTTTTTCCAGAAAAACAGGAAATTTTATAGGGGTGTGTGGGGGGAAACAGTTTTCCCCCTGCAGTTATAAAATGGTAAAACCCCAGGGGGTGGTGGCCCTTGAAGTTTTAAGGTTTTACCCAATGAGCGCTTCTGCAAAATATAAACATATCACAAGCGGGATGGAAGAGAAGGTTAGTTGTAGTTTTGTGGTAGAAGAGGTAGCCATGCTGTGAAAGCCACGAGGAAGGGGCTCGGAGCCCCTTGGGGCCTCTGGACCCCCCCAGCCCCCGGCAGGGGGGCTGCAGGAACTTGGAACAGTGTTAAACTGGGCTAGGTTCTGTAGCTGAGAGCTGGGGGATGTTTCTTTGCCATGAGCAGCAGCAAGAGATACTGAAAGCAACGGCAGACCAGCACTGACCGGAGAAACCATGGCAGAGAGCCAGCAGAAGATAAGAAGCAGCAAACAACATGCAGCCAAGGAAGACACAGAGCTGTCTGAGAGAAAGAGAGCCAGCAGCAGAGAGAGCAGACCTAAGCTCTACAGACAGAGTTTTTGGGGTAAGAACTGAACCAAAGGACCCCAATCTCCTTGGAGACCCCTCAGTTCCTAGAAGGGAGGGGTGAAGTGCAACATGCACAGCAGAAAAGACCTGAAAAGCTCAGGTGTCCTGGAAAGCTGGACTGGGACGATTAAAGGAATGCAGAGGGGGTGACCTTGGTCCCCCCTCGCCGCTGCTGCCAAGCTAAGCTAGCAGCCTGAGACAGAGCACAGGAGCTCTGGTAGAACTCTTGAGGCAAAGGCCTTCAATTGAAAGCTGCCCGAGATGTTCTGACTCAGGGGTGAATCCCCTGAGGAAGGGACCTTCATGGGGGTCTTAAACCCCATGATATGACGTGGTGAAGCGAGTTTTGTCCCTGCTACGCAGCCCACGGAAGATAAGACCCTCACTTGAAGACGACGGGCCGAGGGGCTTGGATACCCCCTCGTGTGTATTGAAAAGAGATCCAGCTACAACAATCCAGTTACAGCTGCTGTATAGAAGAAGAGAACCTGCTGCCTTAAAGACACTGCTGCTCTGAAAGTGGAAAGGGATCTTTCCTTCTTCCCTTCTGGACTTTTATTTGGAGGGGAGAAGAGATTTGATCTATTGTAAATACTTATGTCATGGTAGAGATAATTAAGATTGCATATAATGTATTGTAGTATTTATTTTGTGCAGTCATTGTAATATATTCCCTTTCCCCCATTCTGAGTCTCGTGTAGCATCTGGAAACCATCTCACACTGGGTTGAGATGTGGGAGGGGAACTTGGGCTAGGGAATTGGATTTTTGAGGCTCTCAAACCATGACAATAGGATAGTTCATTTTTTTTGCAGCTGAAGACCTCTGGGGTTCTAAATTTCTGCGCTTCCCTGAAGTTCCCCATAGGTTCATTTCTGACATCCTTTCAGGGATGATTTTGGGTTGAACCAAGAGCAGCTTTGTGAAATTAAGAAATAGAAAACATAAGCTGAGTCAGGGACCATTTCATTTTCATCTTGTTGGTGTATTAATGAGAAGTGTACAGGAATTTATTTGCTATAGCAGAAGTGCCTAAACTCCGTATTACTCTGTTTTATTAATGATCACTGTATTTTCTCCAACCTTATAGCTGCTTGGAAACAACTCCAGCTATTTGCTGCCCTTCAAAACATACTATGAGGAAAGAGTCTATAGCTTAGAAGTGAAGCCAAGTAGCTGCCACCAACAGTCTACATAACTACAAAGAAACACAATTACCTGGGGAGGATGCCTGGGAAACTATCTATTTAATGAAGGATGTTTATTCTTTCCAGGTAGGAAAAGGCTGGGTGACTCTCCGAACTGGAATGACATGCACTCAGGAAGACCTGGATATGAACCTTGTGAGATATGTCCATACAGGAGCTGTAGGGTCCAAGAACCAAGACAGCTTCACGTTTTACCTCTGGGATGGGTACAACAGATCCCCAGTTGTGGACTTCTACATAAATGTCAAGGACATGGAAAAGGGTAAAGATATACCAGAGTTTTACAGTGCCTGTTTCTGAAACAAAGATATTTGAGTACATGTTCTGATCCTCTCCTGAGCACTATATAGGCCCCTGGCAAGTCTCTCTGCAGATCCTGTAAGTCTGACTGCTTGGATTTCACTGTTGGCCAGAGCCTTGATGTTCCTGCTGGTGAAGAAGTGGTCCTGGGATTTGAAAAGGCACTGCTGATGGCAACGTGTTGCACCTTGCCTCCCAGGACTCCCAGCTACTTTTGAAATTGAGCTGAAAATACCCTTTAGAAAATAGCTTTATATCTGAGTAAATCAAAGCAAAGAAAAATGGCAAGAATGTAAAAGGGTAGGCAAAAGACTGTTCGCAAACAGCTCTGTCTCCCAGACAGATAGACAGAGCTCTGTCTTCTTCTCTCTCTTTAGTCTACAGTCTTATGGTCTCTCTTCTTTTATCGCATCCCTATTAGAAACCTAAAGGTTAACCTGACACTGCTAAGATTGGAATAGTCAAAAGAAGTTGTGCTCTCTTCATCCTTGGCAGTTTTCAATGGGATAAAGCCCCAAGCAATGTGGTTATGGCTGGTCTCACAGCTGACCCTGTTTTGAGCAGAAGGTTGGACTAAAGACATCTTTAAGTCACTTTCAGGCTGAATTTCTCTATAATCCTACAGTCCTGTGATTTTTCTACTGGTGATGGCTTGCCTGTGGCTAAATAATGCACAAGAGATCAACAAGTTAATTATGACAATTTTAGTGTTGCTTTGTCTATCATGCAGGAGACATTGCAGTTTTTATGAAACTCCTCAGAGTGCCAAAAGGAGATCGCGGCTACATCACAACCAATGTCCTCCTTGCACTGGACGGGACTGACAAGCCAGAGGAGCTCCTTTATGTGATAACCTCTCCACCCCAATATGGACAAATAGAATATGTCAGCTACCCTGGCATCCCCATTACAAACTTCAGTCAAATGGATGTAGCACGACAGATTGTCTGCTACGTTCACAGCACAAAGGCAGCTGTTCTTGAAGACACATTCAGGTAAGGTATATGACCCCATCCCCCGAACTCTTCCCCTTGAATTTTTCGGGGTATTTAAAAATTTTGCACAAAACAAACAAAAAAAAAACCCCAACCAAATTATTAAAAGGAGCTGGAATATCTATGTGAATTGTCAATATTTATATAGCAAATATATCGCTTATACAATACGTTATAGTTGTGACTGCTTTGGTAGAATATACATTTTGTCATTAATGCTGAAAATATAGCCAGAGTCATATTTACTCAATTATACTAGCTTCAACATTATTATAGCATTCAGGCTACACAGCTGTTAAGATTTAAGTGGGAGAGAAAGACTAAGAATGTACTTTGTGGAATTTTCCTTTGGTTTCTTGCCACAGCTGGATGCTGTAAAACTGATCCATTCAGGTATTAAACAACAGCTTCCTTGTCTATTCTTATTTATCATATTCATTAAGTTCTGGGCTTTTTGAATTCATAAGTAGTTCTTGAACATAATGAAAACCAGTCCTCCGAATCTATTTTGACACCACAATAGCTCAGAAATTCATGTAGACACTTGAATTCTTGGGGTAAACCCATTAGGTTTACCTATAGGCCCAGTTGAGCAACCTAATGATATTCAAGTTTATTTTCATCTGGTTTTGAAACCTTTCTCTGAGAACAGTTTATTCTAGATGAATTCCTAAAGTATTTCCTTATTTTGTTCTTAAATTAACCTCCCTTGCCTATAAAGTGGAATGATGTAATGAGTTATCATCACATAAAGAGTAGATGTATTGCTGCTCAAAGTCTTGCAGACAGCTTTGTAAAAGAGATCAATTTCAGGGTAAAGAAAAGCTCAGAAATAAGGATAATATTCCTAAAGGAAGAATGCTTCTTGCTAGCATTGGTAATTTCCTCTGAAAACAGCTTTTGACAGAAAATAGACTTATTGTAAAATTCAAAATTAAGAGTTTATTGTTTTTCATTTGTAACTAAGCAAAATGAAAGACTTAGCTCCTAAGAGCTGCAATTCAGAAAAGACCCTTTTTTTACACACTCTTATTAATGGATTCCTGATCTGAATGGCATTTTCTGTGATACATGATGAAGATTCAAAAACATGTTGCATCATCCAGTTAGAGAGCTTTTTTGCAGGGAAGTCAAGCAAGAGGGGCCTGGAGACATCAAATAAACCTCCCTATGACACTGGGACAGCTCAGGTGACATTATCTATACTTAAAGCAAAAGTAAATTTGAATCTTTTCTCAAATCAAACATTTAAAACTATCCCTTCCACTAAATTCAATGTGGTAGAAATTCTAGTTAGGAGATTTGTCTGATCCACTTGTACTCACAGCAGGAAAATGTGAACAATTTTTCCCAGGTTTTATGTTTCTTGGTTGTGAAACACTTTGACCAAAACTAGAATCAGCTTAGGCAAATTAGGTAGCAGTCATGCCAACCCTAGTTTGGGCAGCGTAGTAGTGGCTTGTGTGTCTTGTGTCAGTATGACTTCCATATCACACTAAAGGAAGCAGATAAAAAAACTCTAGGAATGTGGATAAACCCAATGTTTAGGCCAATCACTAAGAACCAAACTAGAAAGTCAGCCTTATAGAAGTAAGGTTATGATGTTTTAGTAAATATTGATATTTGATAACTATTGATATTTGATAACTATTTTAATCACAATAATTATGTTTCTTGATGTTATCATTTGGAAAGACATTTGGTTTTGTGTAGACATAGAAATATTCTGGCAGAATATTGTTATTATTATTATTATTTCAACACGAAATGGTTACATTAATTATATGGGTAATTATGGCAGGAGGAGGAATTAAGTGACCAGATTTTTACTTCCCACTAAAGTGCTTACTTCAGACATAAATTTACCTGTATTGTTTGGTGCTGCTGGCCTGGAAGAAAGATTTGGCAGTGCTTGGTTGGACAGACGACTTCAAGTGATTAGCAATCTGACATCAGATGCTGGCAGCAGGATACTAAAAGAACATGCTAATGTTCTCCGTTTTGACATGCTGGCTCGATTTTGTAATGAGTTGGCACTATTTATGATTCCATTTTTATCTTTTAAATGCCATGACAGATGGTAGGTCCTCTAGCCAACTCCATTGCCATTGAACTGCAGAAAGCATGAAATGTTGGTAGGGGTGAAATCAAACCATGCAACATGTCCTCCAAACTGGGCCTGGGAGTTGTCCCCTAAATTTCATCAGAATGAGGAGAATACTGGCTGCTCTCTATTTCTGAGGAAATAATGAAGCAGACATAAACCAGAAATAAACAACCAATATCTTCCAAAGTGCAGAAAAAGGTCATCTTGGGCACCAGCAGTTTCATCACCTGTGAAACTGAATGGTGAATGAAATTTGCATTGTAAATTTCAGTCTGATGTATATAACTAGGAGGTTTGTTCCTATTTGGTATTCTGTAGAAGACTGGATGAATCTTCAGTTATGTGAACTTATCTAAATCTTTAACTTAAATATTTTTGAGACATCATCCAAATGACTTTACAGCCATCAAAGAACGAGAGGAACTGACTTCCACTTCAATCTTTCAGAATTTTTGAGAGAAGGTTTAAGGTATTGACTAAAGGTGTTTTACCCTTTTATTTCCCCTTAGCATAGTATTTATCATCATTATTCTAGTTTTGTATTTGATTTCAGATAGCTTACTAATAGCAAAACCCCTTTCCTATTGGCACAATAGCATTAGGTCAGTGTAGACAGATGTCTCTAGGTTCCCAGTTGGGAATACCATCCTCAGTAAACATATTTCTAACTGCTATATAGTCCCTGGTCTGCCTGTACTCATTCCCATCTGTTTCATGGCACACTGCCAGTTGACAAGTTGATCAAGGTCTAATCATCCAGCGTTGGTGAAGGCAGTGAGGAGTTTTAGATGGACAGTCTGTGTAACACAGTAAGCTTCATCATGACCTACTGAAAGCCACTCACATTTGAGGCATGAAACAGGTGTTGACCCTGTAATTTTTTTAAATACGTCTTCGAGGTCTGCAGTCAAGAGAACAAGAGGAAACAGATAATCTACCTAAATGTTAGCCAGTCTCCATTTCAGTTATGTATGGTAGAAGAGGGCTAGGTGAAAAGAAGCCAGCCAGGCTGGCCCTCATACAGTCTGAAACAACTGTCTCACTCTACCACAAGCAAATTTCTTTGCAAAGCAGTCTCCGTTTTGGATCAGGCAGAACACAAACCTGTGTGAAAACCACTTTCCAAAATGGTTTTGCATGTACTGTGCAGCATAATCACTGAAATTTATGTAGAAAGACAGGTAACTCATGCATACTGTTTGTTGATGGAACATGTAGGATCGTGAGATATTTGCAAAGCCATTTTTAGTTTCATATACACTCAAAAGTTTTTGTTATAAGCACGACAATGTTCCGTGTAATTCCTTTCAGAAAAAATACTTAATTAATGGTCTTGACAATGAAATCTAGGATGAATTTTGAAGGCTGGAAGATTGGTTTTCTCCTTTTTTTTATCCACCACTAAATTTGATAATAAATTTCTGCAGACCACGCTGTCAGTTGTATGGCAAAAGCCCATACCCAGCTGCTAGGCTTCTGTCGTGATTTAATCCTAGCCGGTAACAAAGCCCCATGCAGCTGCTTGCTCACTCCCCACCTGATAGGATGGAGGAGAGAATTGGAAGAATGAAAGTGAGAAAACTCCTGGGTTGAGATAAAGACTGTTTAATAAGTAAAGTGAAAGCTGCACACACAAGCAAAACAAACCAAGGAATTCATTCACTTCCCATGAGCAGGTAGGTGTTCAGCCATCCCCAGGAAAGCAAGAGTTCCATCATGCATAACAATGACTTGGGAAAACAAATTCCACCACTCCAAATGTCTCCCCATTCCTTCTTCTTCCCTCAGCTCTATACACTAAGCAAGACACCATATGGTCTGGGGATATCTTTTGGGTCAGTTGAGGTCAGCTGTCCTGGCTGTGTCCCTTCCCAACTTCTAGTGTACCCCCAGCCTACTCACTGGTAGGGCAGTGTGAGGGGCAGAAAAGACCTTGCGGCTGTGTAAACACTGCTCATCAGTATCAAAACCAAAACATCCTTATGTTATCAACGCTATTTCCAGCAAAAATCAAACCCACAGCCCTATACTAGTGACTATGAAGAAAATTAACCAGCACAGCTTCCAACAGATTGTCTCTCCAGCCTTTGACACCTTTATCTTTTCTTTTCTTTTTGAAAGGAAATCTAATGTAGAGCATAATCAAATCTTCAGTATATCTAAAGAAACATTACTTCTTGACAGAAACAAGAAACTCTGTTGATATTAATAGAAATTCCCAGTACAGAACCAGAATTTTGCAGATATGACCATTTGATAAATATATGGTATAGGTATTTTTAAAACTACCCTAGCAACTTGTACAGTTCTGACCAATACCTTAGTATTTTAGTGAAATCTTACTTGAGTTTTGTAAAGAAATATAAATAGTTCCTCTGAATATACAGAAATTTACAGATGCGGTTAGTGCCTAAACAAACCCGTAAAGTGGGATGAGGATGAATCTTTCTCCAGCTTGGTTTTTCAAATAATTTTTGGCTATTAGGTGGAAAAGATTTGTAACAGTGACCAGAAAAAAACCCAAAACCCTAAACAAACAAAAAATAGACCCTTGTCCAGGCAGATCTTACACTTTACATACCTCTTTCTATATGTTGTAGACAAAGCCAACACTTTCACTGGCAGGTGCTACTGCCAGGTAACCAAGTGAAGATACATTTAAGGATGTGTACAATGTGTATTTATGCCAGAGGCTACAATAAGTCCCCCAGCCAGCCCATCATTTTAGTTCTGCTCCATCTGTATCTGAGCTAGAAGATTAGATCAGTTCTGTTATGACTGTTTATCCTCAAAGACATTCCTCTGGCAAGTACTGAGGTGCATTAAAACTCTTGTCAAATACCCGGCCATCTACTTTTACTTTTTAAAGTTTTACATCCACTCCATCCACTGTCTGGGTTTGAGCTCAGTCCAGCTCTACTACTTTTGCAGTATCAACACAGGCAAGTCCTGTAGTGAAGGTCTGCATTATCATTTCATTTCAGTACATGGTGAATCAAGAACAGATGCTGAAGACTATCTTACCTCTCTTTGCCAGATTCACCATCAGCAATGGACTGAGGACTAAGAATGGGACATTCATAATCTCCTTGGAGGCACTTGACCAAGCTTTGCCCACACTATCTAGGAACATGGGGTTAAAAACAATGGAAGGTGCTATGGCACTTCTCTCTCCTGATGTCCTGCAGCTTTCAGACCCAGACACTGCCAAAGAAAACCTTACCTTCCTCTTGGCTCAGCTCCCCCAATATGGTCACCTCTATTACCGTGGGGCTGTGCTACTGCAGTACAATTTCACACAGCAAGATGTGGACAACAGGGATGTTGCATACAAGCACCGAGGTGGGGATTCCCAGATGGACAGATTTACATTTGTTGCCACAGATAGGACTAATCAAGGCTTCATCGTGAATGGGAGAGTGCAGACCGAGCCAGTGGCATTCACCATTCAGGCAAGTGTGACCACAGGCCTACTTTAAAGGGATAAATAGCATGAAAAGCTCAAAAATGTAGTAATTTTTATGAGAACTGATACTTGCTGCAACCTATGATTTAACTGAGGTATTTTTCAGCTACAATGTTTGCTTCCTGTGTTCCATGAATAATTAACCTGGAGAATGAAATACTTGACACAATGTGTAAATATAAACAAGTAGATCCTTATACATGTAATACTTAAACACTAAAATATTTTACATAGAAATCTCAACTATATAGTCGAGACCAGCTGTGGGAAATATTGAACTTCCTCCTACTCTCCTTTCCCACTTGATGCCTGACTCTGTGACTTACACATGAGAGATGCGAGGGTAACTGTTGATCTTCATGTCACAGGACTCTTGAATTACAGCCACTTTGCTTCCACAACCAGAGAGCCTGTCTTCTGTTTTTTTGTAAGATGCCTGCTCTGATTCTTCCTTTCTTTACTAGAATCTTTCTGTTTAGTTCCCATTGTTTCCTCACTGTCAGTTCTTTACACTTTGTCATGCACTCAGATGTATTTGCTATGATTCCTTGTATGTAGCTGGCATGTTTCAGTACACGAAGTAGGCCTAGTTGCATTATATGTCAAAATTCTGGATGTTTCAAAACACTGATACTAATGAGTAGGCTGCCAGCATTTCCTGATGACAAAGTTTCAAGTTACGTGACTAAGGAGGAGTGCAATTTCAGCAGGGGGTGAGATATGGGAACAGCAACAATCAGTGTGGAATGCTAGCATACTCATCAGAAGTTGTGAAAGGTGGAACAGATTTGAGGAGACATTAGCCATGTCTATTACTGTGATTATCATAATCCTTAGGTTTCCATGCATGTTACTGTAAAACAGTAAAAGGTGACAAACCTTTGCTGAAGTTACCTTTTGCTATGTAGAAAATCACATGAAAAATGAGAAGGACTATGGGGAGTGTGGGACATCAGGGCAGAGGCACAGGGAATTTGTGTTACCCTCCCCAGTGTGTTCTGTAACCTGCTGCTAACGGCAAGTGATGGGCAATCCGGGCCTGGAAACTTCTCATGTGAAATAGAACTTAACTGGAAATCAGATATCTGCAGGAGACTGTGAGCCAAAGTGGCTATTGCCACCCTGAGCAGGCTACTGTGCTTTTAGCAAAAGTAGGACAGAGAATGTCCTGATGCTGTAAAATGAATGTTTAACTTTGATTTAGGTGGATCATTTGGACAAAATGGCACCAAAAATTATTCATCTCCATTGCTTTTCTGATGTGGAACTGCTGAATAATGGCAATTATGGGATCTATATTACTGCCAGGTCCCTGAAGGCATCTGACCCCAATACAGAAGATGACAAAATAATTTTTAAGATTTTGCAAGGTCCTCATTATGGCTACCTGGAAAATACAACAACAGGTGATTTCTTCTATATGCTCTGTATTTTGGGACTAGCAGACCAGACCCCAAAACCTCTCCTGTTAATGTTTGCTTGACAGAAGGAATCAAAATTTCTTAGCAAACTTTGGGCAAACTTTGAATGCAGTAAAAAAACTTTTATTATGAAACCTGTGTCTCATGTTCATTATGAGATGATTGTTAGTGTCTTCTGTTGGGAAACTATTTTTTGTTTGTATCAAGAAAAAAAAATTAATATCAAACTTGGCCTTTTGATAAAGATGCCACACAAAAAAAACCTGAGCTTATGGACTGGGATGTTGCTGTTTAGGTATAAAACCACTTTTCTGTAAGTTCAGATTTTCAACAAAAAGGTTGAAAAGAGTTTATATAAGCCGATATTAAGAGACTTTTGATTCATCTGCATATTACTCGTCTTTCCCAGGTGGACTCATTCGGGAAGGGTTTAGCCAAAAGGATTTAAACAACAAAATCATACTTTATGTCATCAACCTGTCACAGGAACTGAATTCAGACAACTTGGAGTTTCAAGTCATGGATGCCAGAGGAAACTCAGCAGGGCCCCAAAGGTAGCTGCGACCCTAGGTGATATGTGCTCACTACACCCCAGGGCACATGAACTGGTGCTGGGCTTGGAGCCACACAGACATGAACATAGACAGCTACTCCTCAAACTGCCATTGCCTTTGTGGGAGTAGAGGAGGTTTTCTTCCCTCAAGGAGGTGAAATACAAGGGGCTATCTGCAGGTTAGAGTGGGTCATAGTTCTCAAGGGCCTTTGGGGCCTCTTAGGAAAGCAAAATGGAGTTTACTCTAAGTGGCAGTTGGGCATTTGGAGATCTGAGATGCTGGGTGCTGAGGGATGGGATTACTGCGTCATGAACATGGCTCTGCAGCTGCAGGTCACTCTTGCCCTGTGCTGGTGGCAGCGCATTTTTCACAAGCTTGAGATTACAATGGAAGGGATGCTCTCAAGTGATAAAGCTATGAGACATACTTCTGCAAAAGAGCACTGAAAGGAGGTGAAGAGTACACAGCATCTTCTTTGTCATCCACTGCTTATATTAGGCATATTATCCAAATTTCCTTGTGACATATGGTAAACCTCACATAAAAAAATTAGAATATCATCTGAACTGTGCTTGATGATAAAAGCTTTAAGTGGGAGTAGCCCTTCAGCATAGGCAATGTTTCTGTTAATTTCTGAAAATAGAACTAAATGTTAAATCAACTTGTTTAATAAGTAATAAAAATTGCAAAAAAAATAACCAATGCTATTTTCCTGGGCTAAATTGGCCACTTGCCAAACAGATTCATAGAGAAAGAAAAAGAGCAGAGAGCTGGCTCCAGGGGCAGAGCACTTCCCTGCAGGCTTGAGAGAGGGCAGGGATCAAGCAGAGCTCAAGCAGAGCTGGAGGGAGCTCTTCGGCAGTTATGGGCTGTGCCAAAAGATGTCCCCATACACAAACACATCTGAACATGGACAGCCTGAGCACTGCCCAGCTGCTCTGTGCTGGCTCACAGATGAACCAATATTAAAACCACCATTATATGATGCCACTTCTCGTGGTAAAGTGTGACTTCTTGTTTATGAATACCAATGTGCAGCACAACTTTCAGAAGAGAGCAAACAAAAGCTCTTTTTAATGGAAAATAGGAGTTTCAGTGAAGTTATCCATTAGCAGATCAAAGGGGAATTTGGCTTTAAGTGAAAAAATAATATTTTAATACTAGATTTAAAAGCTCATGAGATACCTTTTTATTTAAACTATTTATCATCTAAAGATCACTGGTTCAAAATACAAATTTCATTTATTGTTGATATCCCAGCTATTATCTGAATGCTGCTGGGCTACATCTGGCACATCCACCCTTTTTAGCAAAAATAAAGCAAACCAGCCTCTAAATGGGTTGCCCACAAGATTAGCATCAGAGGATAAAGGAGGACAGGAGGAAACTTCCACTGGTGTTAGAGCTAGTCAACCATGAAAGGTCTGGAAGGTTTTAGAAAAGTTCAAATTATTTTGTAAGTAGCTCAGCTCAGTTTTCTTCTTTGCGGTCTCTTTCATTCCTCTCTGACTCTCAATAATTTTTATCAGAGCTTTTACAAAGGTGAGGTTTTTATTGACTACCCTCTGCAGCATGCAATCTTCTGAGGTTCAGTCACACCCTCACTATAAACAATTCAAAAATTCAGTGTATGGAACACTTGAACTCAGCCAGGGTGAAAAGTTGAAGAGCAAAGTACACAGAGTAGTAAAGTAAGGGGAGTGGGGAGGGTGCTGGCACAGAGGCAGTGAAGTCTTAGAGCGTGCTCTATATGCTACAGGAGGAGAGGTAGAGGATAGATGAAGGAAGGTGGGCAGAAAGGAGGATATTGCAGCAAAAAAATGGGAAGTGAGAGTATAATACAACCAGAAGGCTAAAGGGAAGCAGGACAAAAAGTGATAGCTTGTCTTGGTCTGTTTGGTGTTACGGATAAACTGCTCTTCTCAAATTTCCGGCAGAACCCCTTTGGTTGTGAAACAAGGTTCCGGCCTGGTTTAGGGTGGATGAGGGTTGGTCTGAAAGATTTACTACAGCCTCTTCCTAATCAGCTAAATTACACATGTTGATCTGGAGACAAAGACTCAGTATGTGTATTGGCTAAATCAACAGTCGGAGAGAAATGGCTCTTCACACAATCAAGACCTGGGGGTGGCTGGTGGGTGGCTTTGCTTCACACCTGCATTCCTTCCTCTCCCACAGATTGGAGCTAAGGTGGTCTCGGATTGAAATGCAACAGACTGAATATGAAGTGTGTGAGAGCGTAGGAGTGGTGTCTCTGAAAATCACCAGGGCAGGACACTCAGCAGAGTCTGCCTTTATAACTGCGAAGGTAAAGTCAAAACCCAATGTCCTGAATGTAAACTTAGCAATAAGTAAGCCTGCTAATTTCTTCCTCAGACTTAAAAGGTAGGCCATGTGATTCAATCCAGACTTACTGGGACATTGTCCTTGCTACCATAGATGGCTGAAATATTTCTGACAAGACTTCCTGAGTTTTAAGTAGAAGTGCTGATTAACCAAACCTTGAATGCTTTGGAGCAGTATTTCAGTTTTGATGGAAAAATAAAGCTGGTAGTTTCCTCTGGCACTGTGCTCAGAAGCTTGGTTTCTAGGATTTGCCACTAAAAATCCAGGTTTTGAGCAATGTGGGGCCTTGGGGCATTTGTTTTCCCTACTCAGGCTGGAGAAGCCCAGGAGCTATAGAGGTTTCAACTACACAGCCATGGTAGCGTTTCCCATTTCTCCCCCTACTACCCTTAACCTAGGAAAAAGCGTAAAACCCCCCTATATCTTCAGTGACAGCCTCTCTCTACTGTCAAAAAAATTAGACTGAAATCTGCACATTATAATTTTGTAAAACAGGTTTTGTGCAACTTGCCTTCACAAATTTTATCTTTCCTCATAAAAATGGAATTTCCAGGATTTTACCATCTCCCCTTGCTAGAGAAATACTACTTCTTCCCCTCACAGTTTCTCAGGATTGTAGCCCTGATTGGAAACACAATTCTGATTTTTTCTTCTACTGAAGTTAGTGGGTATTTTGCTGTTGACTCCACTGGGGGCTATCCTGTCCTTTCCTTCATGGACTCCAGTGATTCTACTCTGATTGTCACTAGACTAAACAGACCAGTGAAATTGATCCCAGTATGAAGAACTCAAGTGTGGAAACTGTTGTCCTCTGGTGATCCCCTATGAAAATTCAGGGAGTTGCTGGAGTCCCTATATTTACATATATTGGTGTTCTTGTCTATCCCGAAGAGTCTTTGGGGCTGACAGACAGCTGTGCGTGCAAACATTTCTTCCAAGACATCACAAAGGGCTAAATAAGAAAATGCGGCCAGGTTGTTGCTGCTTTTCTGAGATGATAGGATGTGCCTGTCCAGGGGCCAGGTAATGGCAGGGTCCCCAGGCACAGAGAACAGCAGTGTCACCTCGTGCTGTCAAGTAGCAATGTGAGAGGGAATGAGGCAAAATTATAAGATCAGCAAATTTTTTTGATGATGTGTATTTTAAGCCATGAGCAAAGACAGAATGCCAGTTGTACATCACAAGATATATTCTTTAGGTCTTTATCTTTTTTTTCCAGCCTAAGCACATGTATGGGTTGGCCTGTCTATTTGAGACTCCTTGAAGGGGTGCACAGTAGCTTCAGCACACAGCAGAATGCTGTGGTTTGGTGAAACAGGTCACAGCTTGGCATTTACTGCTTGATTTCTTCTCAGGTCAATGAAATATCTGCTATGCTGGGAAAGGACTTTACAGTGACTCCCTCTAAGCTTGTTCAGTTTGATCCAGGTATGAACCAGTGCACAGAATAATTCTAAAATTAATTCACAGAAAATGTAAACTCTTGCTTTGGAGAGTGAAATCTGTTACGTATCTTTAACTAGAGGAGCTAAATAGTATTAAAGACACTTGGACTCATTTTCTGGAAGGGTTTCCTTTGTGAATTAGTATCCTTAATACTTAGGGTGAGATGGTATAGGGTCCCTTTACATCAGTTAAAATATAAAAAGTGCTGAAATGACGACTCCTAATCTCCCTACAGCTAGGCTGGGGAGGACTCATCCTGAATTGAGCTGTAAGATGCTTTAAAAACTTCAGTCATAATTAGTAAAGCCCAGGACACAAATTTGAACAAAACTGAGTACAACTGAAGTTATTCAAGGGTTACAAGATCTTTTCTCATTCACATAATGGAAGCTAGAAGTTACTCAGGAAAGGCAAGGAACCAGGCAAAAATCTTGTGAACAAGTATAAAATCTGCCTAAAAGGTTGTACTTCAATCTAAGACAGTCTTTGATCCATTTGCAGGTCTTTTGAATAACTGTTCCATCTCTAAAATTAGGCTTTTTAGATAAAAACCCTACGATTTTCTGTTGAAAATTGCAATGGAAGTCCTAAACCTATGTACTCCAGTGCCATTTTGCACATCTACAGCAGCTTTTTGTTACATTTTGTGCACTTGAACAGAACCATCATTGCCCAGGAACAAATTCAAACTTAATGTTATTTGGAAGAACAGCAGGAGTCCAGTCAGTTGGTAGGAGCACAACAGCATACACAAGCTACTCCATTCTAGCTGCAGACATGTTAATTAATATATTTCTTTGACATCCTGATTGATTGAAATAGCACTTAAAGAGTAATTAAAATGTTTATTTCTATTAGGAATGTCAACCAAGACGTGGAATATAGCAATTACCTGTGACAGATTAGAGGAAGATGATGAAGTCTTTGAAGTAGTTCTGAACTCCCCTGTGAATGCTGTTCTTGGCACACGGACAAGAGCTGTAGTGAAAATTTTGGACTCAAAAGGAGGTATTCTCTTTTGATCCTCATCATTAAGATGGTGGGACAATCTTGTCTGAGTGGCTACCTATTTTCAACCACAAGTTGTTCCTAACACTCACCTTTAGTTCAAACCGCTTAATTTCTTAGAGAAAACAGGCTCAGCAGTTGCAAACCCTTTATTCTTTCACACAATCATATGCATCCTCTGAGGAAACACAGCATGGAGAAAGCAATGAGCACAAAATAAGAAAGGTGCCAGGAAAGAAAACACTTTTCATAACAACATGAGTTCAGTTCTCATGTATTAAAGTGGGAAAAATGTTTTTATGTCCATTAGAATGTGTTTTTTCCCAGTTATTGTTTAGCAGTTATACATCTCTACAAAAGATTTATTTTCCTTTCAAAAAAGAAATCTAACAAATGAACCAACTCTTAGCAATATATGTTCCATGCTTAACGAACACAGTCCACAACTTCACAGCACACAGCAGTGATCATTACAGAGTATAGGGTTTTAAGACTGCATTATTATTCTGGTTTTCAGTGGTCAGATGTTGTGTGCCTAAAACATACCAAAAAAGAAGCAACTGTAGAAACAGAAAAATAGAAAAGCTGTAGAAAAATAGAAATAACTAGCAAAGCATCTGAATCCTCTGAAAGCCGAAGAATGTTTTTTCTTCTGGTGTTTAGTGAAACTATTTTAAATACCTATGTTGCAATGAATTAGGCTTCATGTTATAAAAAATCCTTTCAAAATTTCACATTTGTTTTCTCCTTAACATTCCTAATGTAAATCATAATGTAAATTGACACACTGAATTTGTGGAAACAATAGTGTCCTATATTTCTGAGGAGGAAATTGTCTGGGCATGATGGAAGTATCACCAATGGTAGTTAAAGATACCTGTCTCTCTGTTACCAAAAAAACAGCACTGCAAACCCCAACATATGCAGAAAAATAGGTATTTTCAGCAGATGCTTGGTAAAAATTCTGACCTGTGGGTAGACAGATGCATCACATGTGAAAACATACACATACAGGTAGCATTGCAATCATAGTCATAGCTAACCCCAGAAATGAGGATGACTAAACAAACAGCAAATCAACTACTTCAAGTGAAAGAATCATCCAACTTTTAATGACAAGCTGTTTATGTGCCCATATCAATGTGACCAGTTATCTGCTCATGCGGTTAGAACTGACCATCTGCCATTTTTATGCTTTCAGGTCAGTGCAGCTATTCCCATTCTTCTAGCCAGAGCAAGCATGGCTTCTGGGGGAGAGGAACACTCTTTCCAGTTTCCAAAGGCTCCTCATCACCTTCCAGGCCTGGCAGTTTTTCCCTGGAAGGGATCCCACTGCCTCCTTCCAAAGGGATGAGAGAGCATGGAGGGGACCTGCGGCGGGAGCACAGCTTGGTGAATCTGTCAAGGACCAGGCTGAGAGTGACTGGAAATGGCAGAATAGTAAGACATTTCTGTAGTTCAGTGATTGACTGATTTGTGAATTTATTGTGATGTGATATCTTCATTAAACTGTCATATTTTTGTAGTGATCCTACCTGACCATACAATAACTATAAACTACCAGAGTTTGCTCTGAATCAGACCAGAAAGCTATTTAAAAATACTGCAAATAAAAAAAACCAAACAAAACCAACCAAACAACCAAACAACCCCCCCCCAAAAAAAAAAAAAATCCATGTGTGCAAGAGAAGAAGAAAAACATAATTTGGGGCAGGAAACAGGCATCAAACAACTTCAGCAATTATGAAGCCACTCATTTTGTATAAATTATGGGGCAGTTAGAAGAAAGAAGTCAGTGGAGCCAGGTAAATGTATAGAACTTGTGCATCTGGTACTGAAGCTCTAAAGCTGAAAATACTGTTAGCTTAAACAGGAAACAGTTATTTAAATCTTGCCCACTGATTTTCCTGCTTAAGTTATATTGGTTTAGCTAGGTGGTTTAATAACTTTCTGCTACTGTAACTTAAAAGTTAATGGAATCTGTTCATAAAGACGCTTGTAGTTTGTGCTTTTTAATGGCTGTTTTCAGAGGTTATCCATTTCTATTCTGAAAGAGAAAGAACTAAAACCTGCACATGCTCTTCATGATTTATAACCTAGATCTTGTAGTAAATTTTGCATAAAGTCTATTTGTTTCTATAATGCATGAATATGCTCATCTCATTCTGCTGTTCTTCTTTTTTCAGGTTCAGCCTTCATCTGTATTTAAAAATGGAACAGATGTGGTTTTCAAAGTAAGAGCATTATGAGTATTGGTCAGCCATTTCTGTGATTTCTTTCTGATTCTGTTCTTTCCAGGCTTTATCACTTTTAATAATTTGTTATGACCAGTATGTTATTTTCCTATGTATCTTTCTTTTCCTTTGGTGTAATTTTCCCTTGATTTACAACAATTTGTATCATAATTAATTTTTATTATTACTTAGTTAGTTTATTTAAGAGTTGCTTGTATGTACTAACCCTCTCTTTTCCCTCTCTTTTTCTTCTTACATGTGTGATACTGTAAAATGAAGTATCATGGGATGGTATCACTCAAAATAGAGGATGACACCTCATCAGCTAAAACCAACAAGAAGGCAAAACCACAGGTAAATGTCATCTCCTCTAGGAAGATAGAAATCCCACAGGCTGATAAGGCAGAACTTGCATCTGAACCAAGTTCAAGACATAAGGTATGAAACATTTTGTTTCATAGGCATTTTCACCATCTGTTTTCAGTCATACTGTTTTCCAAATTGATTTAGCACCTCTGAGATCTGTAGCCTAACCCTTCCCACTCCAAAGCTGAGCTTAACCAATACACAGATAACAACTCAGCCTTTGAAAAGTTTTCATCGCATAAAATTTTAATATAAGGCTTAATTAATCTATTTCACGTTGCTTGTTTGTTTTGTGTAATTATTTTCCTTCTAATGTTACAATGACATTTTCTCTTTCCAGGACTTTTACTCTTTTCCGAAGGCCTGTACACCAGATTTAAAGGGTCTCTTGCATTATGAAGAAAGCACTCAAAAGTTATTTCAGTGTGATGGGATAACATGGAAATTCTGGAATTCCCAAAGCAAGGTAAAAATGTAGCCATGAGTATGCACCTAAGCCAAAGTATGAAGTCTGCAATGAGTGATACTCTCAAAGAAATTACTTTCTTGTAACTTGTACAGGGAATAAAAGTATAGTCCAGAGTAGGTTTGCTTTAAGCAGAAATAAAAGTTTCCCAGAAATATGATGAGGACTTGACTGCTGGGGTTGCCTTTCCTCTCTGTCATCCACAGGTGCTCCTGGACAAACCATGTGAGCACTGGTGCCTTGGTGTTTGTGAGTATGTGGGCATAAGACAGTCCGGGAATGAACTCAGTGAGAGAATGAGTAGAAGTTAGTGAAATTAGCTTACTTAGGTATTCTGTAAACATACATTCCCTCCATCACGTAAGATGTTATGCTGAATTTTGTTGCACTGCATTCCCTATGCAGATTGCAGGACACAGTCAGTGGTGTCCAAATTAATACAATCTCTTTAGAGGATTTTTGAACTGAAGCATGTTGTCACCATTAAAACTACTAATTATAAATTGTAGCCTCCTCTGGCAAGCACTTATTTATTCAAATCTTTTAAGCAATGCTGTAGCTTTATTCATACACATTGAAGTTCATGCTCAGTTTAATTCTGGGCATTAGTGTATAGACTATCTGTGCACAGACATCTGCTCACAGATCACTGTGAGCATAAGTCTGTTTTACCTTTTCTTCTCTTATTTTAGGAGGTAAGCATGAAGAAATGTCCTTCTGGATGGAGTTATCATGAGGGCAGCTGCTACTTGCTGGTAGTGAATCACAAGGTCACCTGGAACACTGCTGCTCGGGCTTGCAGAGAACAGTAAGTGACCACCATGCAAATGTGTTTGCTGTGCATTGCTGTTGCCCTGAGCTGAATGGTGCTCTTGAGGCCAAATTTAATCAGATATGCTCCAATTTGGCTGTTCTGCACAGTTCCCCAAAAAACAGAACAATTTTTGGGATTCAGATCCAGTGGAGGATAGAAATACTGTTAGTCTCATAAAGTTTCAGGTGGTGATGCTACTGTATTCACAGCACAAATTTCCAATGTTGTCCACTTGCATTAAGGATATTTCCTAATGGGAGAGTTAGTCTGAGAGAAGAGAAATACAGCAATGACTCAGACTTTCATCCTCTCTGACCCACTACTTCCTTGGCTCTACCTTCACTTGACATAGCAACAGTAAGAGGTTGCCAGCTCCTGTGTGCCTCATTCTATTTTTCTGAAGATGCAGCTCTGCAGATTCTGTAACTACTTGAAAACTTTAACTTTCAATTTAACAGTATGTTTCTGACTTGTAAGGATAAATAAAGGCATAACCACAACAGCAGCAACAACAACAACAGTAATAGTTGTCTCAAAGTAAGAGTCAAATAAAACCCCTGACAGTCTTGCTCTTTGGGCATCTGTTTTGTGATTTTGGTTTTAAGAGCATTAAGCTAGCACTGGAAGAAATGCTAGCCATGGTAAAATGAAGCTTGCCCTAGGATCATGCATTCTCTCTACCTTGTACTGAATTATGAGCATCAGGTCAAAGACCAATCTGAATAATAGCAAGGGCTTGAAAAGACCTCTCCATTACTCCTCAAAAGGAAAATTAGAACAGGGAAGACTCGGAAATGAAAGAAACAGAATATATTCCGTAAGCAGTGGAAGGACATGCAGGAAACATGAATCACGGCCAAGCACACATAACAAACCTTGATTCATTCCACTCAGTTATGCCAGATCATGTTGTCTTGGTAACATACAAAATAAAAGTGTTGGTTCTAATACCTCCCAGCTATTGGAAGATATTCTTTGCTAAAATGTAAATGTTACCTGCTCTTGTGAGCTCACCCCAAATTTCACATGACTACTTGGTTTACTTAAAATTTCAGCTCCTGAAATTGTTTTCTATTGTCTGCATTTATTATGGTATTTATGCAAAAAAAGCTGTAAATAGTGATATTTTATATTTTTTTTTCTGAAGGCTTCAATGTTCAATTGATACCTTGGGAATATATGTCACTCTACTGAGAGGTGTTTCCCATCTCCAAAAAGAGTGTGCTTCTGGGGACCCATATTTTTTGTAGGTGGTAACTTCTTGATTAAGGCTATAGTGTACAATGTAGATATTAAACTGAAGAGCAGTAAATAAATGTAAGCAACAGTAAGCAAATGACTGTGTTAAACACCTGCACAAAATGTCAAGGCATATCACTGAGTACACAAGGAAATGAATCCTAGGGGAGCGATGATTCAATTAATGTCATACTAGCATAGACTTAGAAAGCTTTACCTTGGTAAATGGAGTCCTCCTGTCCTCCATCTGGAACTGATTTACAAAAGCACAATCTCAAGAACACACTTAAAATGAGACAAGAAGATAACTTAGTAAATATTGTTCTGTGCTTTTCCCCATCTCCTCCTGGCAATCACCATTGCCACTGATTGTGGTATTTCTGTTATTAATACTTACTCTATTGACATTTAAATAGCTGATGTTTCAAACAAGGAAGTAAAACCAACATGGAGGTCAATCTCAATTTTTAATAGATCAAGCAAGCATTAAATGAAAATATTAGAATTGACTTTCAGTAAATCGGCCAACTTCACTGAAAAAGAATAATTTTTTATTACTACAAAAATGACACTACTTTAAACTTCTATTCATTTGTCTTGCTAGACTTTTTCTATTACACAGAACAGGGGAAAAGCACAAGCACTGTTAAAGCTGATTCACTAACAGTCTCCAAGTAACCAACCTCCTAGCCTCCTTGAGGAAACACTGCTATCCTGAGATGATGGACTGGGTAACAAGCTGTACAAAAAAGAAGTGGGCAGGCTGCAGAGGGTCCAGAGAAGGGCCACAAAGATGATCAAAAGAGTGGAAAGCCTGCCATGTGAGGAAAGAAGGTTTAGGGGAGCCCTTATCACCATGTTCCAGCATTTAAAGAGAGTCTACAAGGAAGAGGGAGACTCCCTTTCTACAAGGAGTCACGTAGAAAAGATAAGCGGCAGTGGGAACAAGTTACTCCCAGTGAGATTCCAATTAGACACAAGAGAAGACTTTTTTTCACAATGAGACCATCCATTAGAATAGTTTCCCCAGAGAAGTGGTGGACTGCCTGACATCAGATACTTTTAAGGTTCATCTGGACAGGGTGCTGGCCCATCTTGGCTGGACTGTGCTTTTGCCAGAGGGGTTGGACCAGATGATCCTTGAGTTTCCTTCCAACCTGATATTCTGTGATTATATTCCATGAAAGCAATGCTATCAATTTATTGTGTAAGAGTTGTTGTCTGGACATAACTATATATGCAGGGGCTTATGCAGATCTATTTGGGCTTTCATTGACACACATCACATCCATTTGTTGCAGGTAATATACCAACCTTTTCTTCAGTTTCCATGTGCAGGTTAGAAGCAGAACACATAAATACATGCCATGATGCAAGTTGCTCTAGCTTTGTTTGTATGCCTGAAGAGGCTCTTGGCACTATGAAGAGAAGCATCTGGGGGATATTACGGCTGAGTGATCCCACAGCAGCCTGATTTAGAAGCAATTTTGGTGATTTATGTCACAGTTCTTGTTTATCCCATAGGAACACATCCTCCCTAAGGGTCAGTACAGCAGGGTTCACTCATGTGAGATGGTTTCACTGCTGCCACTGAGGGGATGGAACAGGACTGAATAGACAGAACCCACAGTCGTGTCTTTTGCTTTGTTAGTCATATTATACCTTTATCTTCTTGAACATTTAAATAGAGCTCAAATATGGTCAGATTTCAGATCCTTTACTGCTAGCTATGTAAGTCTGGGGCAGTTATTTTGTTTGGTGTTAGTGTATTAGCTGCATATGGCTTCAATCCTTGGGAATCATAGGCAGAACCACATCTAACATAATAGGTTAGATCCTTCAGGATGGCTCAGTGTTGCCTACTGCAAAGCAGGATGGAGCCTGCTGCCCTCCTCTCCTAAAACTGTGCTGGTTCTGTAAGTGACAGGTTTAACTTACTGTATTACGAGTGACTCCAGCATGGGAATTCAGGTACCTGGAGTCTATTGTATCTTGTCTGACTTTCAACTGCCATTCTGGAAGTGCAGGGCTCCTGCAAGCTCTGCATCGTGTCTGCCACTCTCATCTGAATGTTCTGAATACTACAAAGTGTTGTAAGCAACACCAGACACCTATTTCAAGGCATCAGGATAGGCGACCAAACAAAAGACTGGGATGAGCGCAGCCTCTCAGTCACCCCCCACATCAGTATAGGATGTGGATTTACTACAACAGTTAAAATTAAATATTCTCTTTTCCTATGGAGATCTTCATACCTAGTCAAATGTGCTTCTTCTGAGGTTAAATTTAACAAAATGGTACAAGACTCTTTAAAACTTATTGGATAATTTAATGGAAAATCAGTAAAGTCTTTGTGCTAAGTGTTTTTCACTTCTACTTCAAGGTCAATAGCTACCCAAATATTTCCTTAATTTAGGCAACTGCTCTAAGATAAAGGATGCTCTTGATTTGATGGCAAAAATTTTAAAGCCCATAGGAACAAATTCAAGTGGGCTTTTTAACACAGAAATATAGCATGGCTCCTTATCTTGAGTAATTTACATTAGGAAGTGTTAGATTTACACAACTCCATAAATAATGTTATCTTGTCATTTCCGGTGTCTGACGCTCTGCCTAGAGGTTCAGTAATTAATATTATCGGAAGTGGTATGTTCCTTCAGGACTGATCTCATTTCCCTACAATACATATAACCCCCTAACTACGTGTAACAATTAGAACAGTTGTTCTGTCTTCAATAATGCATGTTTCTCAGGCTGTATTTAGAAAGCACTCCTATAGAGAAAAGATTAGATAACGTTATAACTATTTCAGTGCTTTCCTTTCACAGTGCTGAAGTCTCTCTCTGGCATGTGGATTGAAGTAAAAGTCTGAAATGTATTTCTCAGACCACCCCTGTATGTCATAAATGATACAGCAGTTACTGACACAGAATGGTACTTTTTGTTTTCACATTTTCTAAGACAATTGAAATAACAGGAGTAAGTATGCTTACCTGAAGTAACTTTCTTAGTTCCTGGATTTTGAGTGTCCTTAAACAGAAGCTAGATAAAATGCTTTATTTTTGCTCTTGGTCAGCTAGTGGTGATACCACAGAAACTGCTGCCCAAACCTCTCCTTAGCCCCAAATTTGGTCAGTGCAACCACAGTCACTGTAAGGGGAAATGGTATCCTCCTGCTGAAGCAGTTAGCCTGGGAGAACACCCTGAATTAACTGAGCCTGCTTTCCTGGACTTTTTGTCTGCAGAAGAAGATGGGGTACAATACTTTCCAAGAGCTTATGTCAGCTCACTGGAGATTCAGTGCCTGGTAGATGGGCCCAGAAGAGTGGAAGCATGTCACCCTTGGGACACAGAGGCACAAATGCCATGCACAAAATTTCACTGTGATGAGAGACACAGCTGAAGTCCTGCTGAGAGCTTCACTAGGTGCAGTTTTGGGAACCTGTACAATAAGTGGGTGCACAATCTTGAACCTACCAGGCAGTTGCTAACCCCTTTGGAAAGACATGAGCAGTGTTTCTGAGCCATCCCGCCACACCTCTGTGTGAGCAAAGTGTACACAGAATTACAGAGTATGCTGAATTGAAAGGGATCCACAAGCATCATTGAGTCCAATCCTTAGCCCTGCACAGACCATCCCCAAGACTCATACCATGTGCCTCAGTGTTGTCCAAACGCTTTTTGAACTCTCTTAGACTTAGTGCTATGACCACTGCCCTGGGGAGTCTGTTCCAGTGCCCAACCACCCTCTAGGGGAAGAACCTTTTCCTAATACCCAACCTAAACCTCCCCGGACACAACTTCAGGCCATTCCCTTGGGTTCTGGTCACCACAGAGAAGAGATCAGTGCCTGCCCCTCCTCTTCCCCTCACAAGGAAGCTGTAACTGCAATGAGGTCTCCCCTTCGATCTCCTCTTCTCCAGGCTGAAAAGACCAACTGACCTCAGCTGCTGCTCATATGGCTTCCCCTCAAGGCCTTTCACTGTCTTCATTGTCCTCCTTTGGACTCTCTCTAAGAGCTTAATATCTTATATTGCAGTGCCCCAGACTGGACACAACATTCAAGGTGAGGCCTCTCCAGTGCAGAACAGAGCAGGACAATCTCCTCCCTCGACTGACTGATGATGCTTTGCCTGATGCCCCCCAGTACGCGGTTGGCCCTCCTGGCTGCCAGGGCACTGCTGACTCAGATTCAACTTGCCTTTGACCAGGATCCCCAGGTCCCTTTCTGTGGCACTGCTTTCCAGCATCTCATTCCCCAGTCTGTATGAACATTCCAGGTGCAGAATCTGGCACTTCCCCTTGTTGTACTTCGTTTGGTTGGTGATTGCCCAGCCCTCTGATTTGTCGAGGTCTCTCTGCAGGGCCTCCCTGCCTTCGACGGAGTCAACAGCCCCTCCCAGTTTTGTATCATCTGCAAACTTGGTTTGTTTGAGATATCCTTTATACTTTGTTTTCTGGTGGTCCCTGAACTTAGAGGGTCCCTGACTGGACCTATATTACTTGTCTAGGGCAGCCGTGATTCCACAGGTGACGGCTAACACCCAGCTGTCCTGCAGGCCTTGGCAGATCCACCATGCAAAGTAGAGCAGAGAGCGACTCCACCCCCTGCTGTTTTGGTTGACTTGCAGGGATAATGGAGGAGGCCTTTGCAGCAGGAGCATCCTCCATCAGCATTACAATGAATTTGTTTTGTACTATTCCCCTCTGGGCCCAAATCAAGGAATGGTCCATTTGGGCAGTAGGGACTGTGCAGAATATTTGTGGACTACTACTCTGAACTCCTCCTGATGTAAATTTTTGCTGCTTCCCTGTCCTGTGTGGCATCATATGGAATCTATGGGATCACTACTCTCAGAAGAGGTAGAGGGCAGTTACAGGAATGGAGCTCCAGGCACGCGTCTCTAACTCGGCAGCAGGCTTGATGGTGGGCTTGCACCCCAAGATCTGTTCATGGTCTCCATAGTGGACTCACGTCTGTCCTGTAATTCTTGAGACCTGGTTGTTGTTCCAGCTCTTAAGACAGTCTTTACTTCATTTGGAGCAATGAAGTAAATCTTTTGTCTCTGCCTTCTGGCAAAAGTACTGAAATTAGCAAAACCTCATAAAGCCGTTGGCTTATTCTGCTTCTACAAAAGGGGTTTTTGCTCTCTTAAAACATGTTCTGATGAGCAGTGTTGTTTTCTTTGGCCCTATCAAGCATCACCTGGGATGTTATGAGAGGCTGAAAGGGTTGGAATCACTGTTAGATTGAGTGGCAGTCAGAAATATTGGACAGATATGACAGCATCAAAGGCTCAGCATCAGAGGGATGGCAACAGCAGGCATGACATGTAAATAGCTGACATGATATCAGTGCAGACAGAAAGACAGGTAAATAGGAAAATGAAGCCACTGATGGCTGACAGTGTCTGACAAATTTGAAGAATACCATTTGTCTTAATACTTCAGGATTTAGATTGGCCTCTAAATGGCTTAAGAGCAGCCTGCAGGTGCTTGCATGTTTGGTACCAGTTGGAAGACTTGACAGTGGCAAGGCCACTCAGTGGCTAGGGTTTGCAAATACTCCTTTGTATATGGCATTCTTTAGGTACAAATGCAGAGCAGAACTTATACATTGACTTAATTCAGAAATAGTCTGCTTTATACGCACCACAACTGCTCTCCATTGTGAATAAAATGTGTAATCATTGTAGACAACCCTCTGAAGAATGGGCTGCTCCCTCAGAGCCTTTTCAGATATGAAACTTCTTGTGAAGAGCAACTTGGGAAACCCATGGTATACCTGCATTTACCGAGTGCAGGTTCATAAAAGAATGGAAAAACAGAATACCTCAACTGAAAGGCAAAATTGAAAAGGATGAAAATAATAAAGAAGAAAGAGGGTGGGATACGTGGAGAAGAGAGAAATGCAGGGAATGATGTGACAGCCTGAATGTTGATTTTAGAGGGTGCATGTGTTAGCTGTGACAGGGAAGATTTAGCTTAGATATTAGGGGAAGGTCTTTCCCCCAGAGGGTGGTTGGGTGCTGGAACAGGCTCCCCATGAAAGTGGTCACAGTACCAAGCCTGAAAGAGTTCAAGAAGTATTTGGACAATGCTCTCAGGCACATGGTGTGATTCTTGGAGCTGTCCTATGCAGGGCTAGGAGCTGGACTGCAACGATCCTTGTGGGTCTCTTCCAACTCAGGACATTCTAAGATTACTTCTCAGAACCACACCACCACTTAAATGTGTTACTCAAAGCTTCAGTCTTTTTAAAACCTGATTTTAAAAAGATACAGTCTGCTCTACTACCAAATGAGTGAAGTTGGCTTTTCTTTCAGTGGCTTGGATTTTTGTGAAGGAAGTTATTATTTTATGGAAAATATGGTATCAATAATTGTGCTAATGGTTTAAAACACAGTTTGTGAATATGAGGCACATATTTTCTGTATACTTTTTTTTCAGTTGCTCAGCTGATTTAATTTTTCTGTCAGAAAAATGAGACTAGGACTTTGGTTCCTCTCCACATAATCCACAATTTTAAGACTTTATCTCCATGTAATTATTCTTTCATTTCAGTAAGTCATGGGGTTTTTTTCCTGTGACAAGTTATTTATATGCTTTATACTAGAACCAGTGCCCCTTGTTGATAAGTTGACCTGTCTGTCACTCTGTGGAATGCTAATTACTCTGTCCTCTCTTCTTGAGCCTAGATACCTGGGGAGTCTAGCAAGTGTGGCTAATGAACAACACATGCAGTGGCTGTGGGACTTCGGTGGGAGGATGCCCTTTTGGATAGGCAAGTACATCCACTGCCTGTCCTCTCTGAGCATTAAATTCCTGTGCACTTTGAAAAGCAGGAACTGCCACAGCAATTCCAGTCCAGTTTTCAAACATTGCATTGTACTCAACTTTCTGCTGCTTTTATTACTTCAGAGCAAAGCATAAGCCAAAAGTATATTTTACCTCACTAATTTTATAAGTCTTTATCAAAAAGAAGAGTTTATCATGTTGCCCATTGCTGGATAGTTTTTGTTTTGAAACCTTTCCCATTTTAACACAAGCTGATGAAAATAGCTCCTACACTTTTGTTTATCTCACCGTTCTTTTGACTGTTATTTTATTTATCTTTAATTTAGCTTTTTTTATTTGTTAGTTTTAACTTTAAACAATTATGTATGTTCCTGCTAAATTAATGATGCCATCTTGTGTCAGAATTCTTATGAATTAATTAGATGATCAGCTAAAGAACATTTCATCATATAATTTTAGATTTAGCTAGTTCTTATTATGCACATTATATTTAGTGAGAAATGGAAAGAATTCAGATGGGTCTTCTTGTTTCCGCTATACTGTCCTCAATTTGGATTTTATTTTTCAATTCTGATCTGCAATTGTCAGCTCTAAGTAATTTTCTGAGATTAATTTACTAGCTATACTAAATTAACTTTAAAAAATGCAGTTAGTTTGGAATCTTGTTTAGTGGTCTCATGATTTGTTAACCTGAGAGAAATAAATTCTGCTGACAAGAATAAAGACTACAAGACTTATGTCAATTTTTCTGATCTTGGTCACTCTTAAGAAGACAAGTCTTATCTAAAAATATGCCACCCACCTTACTCTCTTATTAAGTTACAGGCTAAGTGAAAAGATATGTTTTATGTTGTGCTAATTAACACAACCAAATTTTACAACTGTTAATCTAAATGGTGTAAACAAGGTCTAAAAACATCTGCAGGATTTTACATTCAGAAGAAATCTGAAGGCATCTGACGCTGCCCAGACTAGAATATAATATTCTCCTTGCTATCTCAAGTATCACAACAGAAACCTGTGAAGGCATAGACATGTGTTAGATGGAAAGAGGAAAAACATTTTAGATAGGTGCTAATTTGGAAAAGTATATTTTTCTTATTCAGATGGCCCTAATTGTGATTCAAGTGGCCTAATTAAATACTATATTGTGTTTTATTTGTGTTCCATCAGATGGGTTTTTCTCAGCGCTAAATTGTATGCATTTTTCAACAAAGATATAGAACAACATACTTCTCTTGGCATCAGGCTCCAGAGACAATAAACATCACTGATTTGGTCTTACTGATTTCACACAGGCTTGAATGACCAAGTCAATCCTGGACATTGGGAGTGGAACGGAGGAGAACCTGTAACCTACATAAACTGGAGAAGAGGCTCCAACCGCTTTCCAGTGAGAGGAAGAAATTGTGTATTTGTGCAGAAGCGAGGAAAATGGCAAGCAACTGACTGCAAGAATGTCAGACCAAACAGCTATGTGTGTTCAAGAAAGTTGTAAGGAATGGAGGATGCCTGTGAAAGCATAAATGGACATTCATGCTGTTTCAGTGTGTTATCTGCAGACATGGGAGTGCAGTTAGAAAACTGTGCTGATTATCAGCAAGGTTTATGTTATATGCTGCCAGAGGTGCAGATGCACTGCCTCTAACCAAGGTATAGAGGTCCATTGCAAAGTTTAAGTCTAGATTAAGTTTTGAATTCTCCCCAAAGACATTGATGCATCACTTACTCGTATGTATTTTTACACCAAATAGCTAGGCCTCAAAGCTTTCATTGCATTTCTATGTAAAAGTACTTTAAAAAAAAAAAAAGTAGCAAATCAGTTGATTTGCTTTGCTCTTAAGGAGGGGTTGTGAATTGGCTGTTGCTTTAATTTGTTTGCAATAAAAACTGCAGTCTCAAAAGGAGGAAGACTGCTGGGGGTGAAAATGGGGGCAGACTTTTGGCTAGAACCAGGTCCTCTTGGGTGATAAGGGGAGTGACATCATGTAAGTACACAGGGCTTCTTTGGTTGATGCCTTAGTGCAATGTCTTACAAAAGTACCAATGGCTGGATTTAGTGACAGAGTACAACAGGAGCAAAGTTTTGGTTTTTTTTCCCTACCTCCCAAGGCCAGCTTTGGATCCCTATGGATCTGTTCATACAGAGTTGCATATTGTTTCATATTCCTAACCAAAATTTTTCACTGTTTTTTTGAATTGCAGGATACTGGTGTAATTTTTAGTGTAATTAAATAATGGGACATCTCTACATCTAATGTTATATCAAAAGAATGATTTATTAAAAAAATATTGAAGCTTAATCCTAGAATATTATCTTGGGATATTCAGTGACACATGAACATCAATAGGATTTATATGTGTGTATAAACCAATGTAATCATGAGACATATTTTGTACTAAAGCAGCTATGGCTTTTGAAAAGTATTAATCTAAGTCCTTATTAGGGATTTGAGGTTTATAAATAATACTTAAAAATCCAGATTTATTTCTGAGAAAGAGTTTAAAATCAGCCGTTAATAGGAAAAAAACCAGCTGGCCATAAGTTATTATTTTAGATACACGCAGTTGCAGTATAACCATTTTGTAACATTGTAATAAATTTATATTTGACCTGTCAAAAGCTTGCTTTAGGACCTTCTTACTGCCGGCCTTAACATTAAAAAAAAAAAAGAAACCAGGCATAAGTTTCCCAAAAAATATAAAATTAAAGCTCCCCTCAAACCCTCTCTTTGCCCAGTGGGTGACAGTTGGTCTGGTACTGAGTGGGGTAAATTTGCCCTGTACCTATGACTCTCATCCCCCCCATCTGTCTGCCAGCTGCCACCAGTTGATCCTCCCCTTAATCATCTATTCAGCCAGCCTCTGGATCAATTTTGCCCCAAAGGTGCAAAACTTCCTTCTAAGGTTCCTCACAGCAATTTCTCAGTCCTGCAAGGGACGGATGCAACAGAATCACCTCTCCTCTCTGGGCTGAAGGGACACTTTCAGGGGTTATATATCCCTCTTCCTTGCCTCTGGTGTGCACTGGTTATTCATCCTTCCTCCTTGCCTGTGACAAGTTAAATCAATATGCATGTGAGTAGCTGGACAGTCTTTGTATATAGGAAAGAACATTTCTGAAAGGGCTGTTGCCTATAAACATAAGTGCATTACAAAATCAGAAAAAAAAGAACTGTGGACAGAGCTTCCTCACCCTTATTGTTGCTATCAACAGACACAGACAAAAATATTTCCAGGATTTCTCTCTATTTTTTCCTTTTTTTCCCCCCTTTTTTTAAATGATAATATTTATGACAAGCTTCTAGACACTTTTTCTAGACATTAACTCTTGTTTAAGGAGTTTTCTAAATCAACATATATAGGCTAATTGTCTCCAAACCAGGTACTCCTGAGTACCCATCCAGACCTGATTTTATTTCTGATAGTTTTCATTACAGAAAAAAATTAGCATCTAAAAAAGTACTCTTGAGATCTCTCAGTGGTGTGTTATGGAATTCCAGGGAAAGCTGACTAAGAGAGACACAAGCATAAACTTTTATTTCTTTATGACCCTCTTTTAATAAAAGCTGTAGAGTTTATTGGTGCTATCTTTATAAAGCCTATTGAGATTCCTCAAATACCTCTCTGAATTATTTAATAAATTAATTATATCAATGGAGAGGGAATTTGAAAAAGGTGCTTATTACTTGATCAGTAACTAACAAATGACTCATGCCATCTGAGACAACAGTGACCTCAGGTTTGTTTTTGTGAGAAGAGGGGAAATTTTCCCTTTTCTGTATTTCATTTGAACTGCCTTAAAGTGATTGCAAAGTATGAAGATTCACTACACAACAGAATGTTAGGTGTGCAAACTGTATGTGCTACTGTTCTAATTATACCTAATACAATACACTAATGAAACAAAAATTCTTATATTGCAGTGCAAGTTTATTTCTGCTCTGAAAGGCTGCTGTATTGTTTTTCAACATAATCAATTGTTCCAAATGTTTATTAATAAATTTTATTTTTTCTGTCCAAGAAGTATTTTTTCAGAGATTTTTACAACTTTTATTTTTATTATTAGAATACTGGAGTTCAATGAATACAGCATACTCGGATCAGGGAAAGCAAAAATAAGGGTTTTTTTCCTGTTGACATAGGAAATTATTGCATCTAAGAAGTTTAGTAAAGGATGGGCCTAAAACCCTGAGGAGCTTTGGGGATTTTTCCAGTCTTCAATACTTTTGAATTAGACTGAGTAAACTCAGGTAAAAACCAGTATTAAGAGGATCAGCATCAGCAGGGGAATTTCAAAAGGCTGAAAGTAAGAATAAGGAGCATGTAAATTCTGGTGTTCGCCTATGGATGTCACACTTTCTGGATAAACAAAGGATTTATTTCACCAGAACTATCCATATATCTTTTAAGAGCAATAGAACCAAGATGCAACTGCTCAGTGAAAAGAACCCAGTAGTTAGCCTAGATTTCTATAGAGTGACGGGCAATGTGAGTTCTTTGTGTGCTTGTCACTTTTAACCACCTTCACTCCCTGTCAAATATCTTTTAAATATGTTGACCAATTTCAAACAAATTTGATAGAAAATTAGTTGACTCAAAGACAACGGTTATGAAAAAATGGCTAGGCAACCGGTCACAGGAACATTTTTTCCAAACCAAAATATTCTAAAATATTTGTGTTGCTATTAACTTTACAGTATCAAGTTTTTAGTCTGAAAAATATCAGAAAAGGTTTTTTTTCCTACACATGGAAACTCACTGAATGTTTTCAAGTCTTTATTAACTCAAATTATAAAAATAATTTGGAGATAATTATGTGTAAGATTCAGTGAATACTGTGATTCTACATTATTTACATCACAAGACTGGTGCTACTGCAATTCTTGTATTCAGAATGCTATATATATTGTTATGTTTAACTCTGTTATATATTCTAATAAAAAAAACAAAATATACTTTGGTGAATATGTACTTCATTTCATCATCTCAAAACCTTTTTCTCAAGTGATAAAGCTATAGTGTTTAGCATAGTAGAAATGCATTTAGAGTTAAGCATAATATAACTGCTGTTTACTCTATGCAGTTTCTGAATTCTGTTTCTTCTTCTGCTTGGGCCTGTTCTTGAATTAATATTATAATCACATTTGTACCATGAGTTAAATTCTCTTTGTACCATGAGTTAACTTCTCTTATGAGGAGAAACCGAGGGAGCTAGGCCTGTTTAGTCTAGAGAAGAGAAGACTTAGGGGGGATTTCATCAATACACACAAAGATCTGAAAGCTAGGTGTCAAGAGGATGGTGCCAGATTCTTTTGAATGGTGCCCAGCAACAGACAAGAAGTAGTCGCCATAAACTAGAACATAAGTTCCACCTCAATGTGAGGAATTATTTCTTTACTTTGAAGGTGGCAGAGCACTGGAACAGGCTGCTCAGGGAGGTCATGGTTTCCCTCTCTGGAGTATTCAAAACTCACCTGGACGTGTTCCTGTGTAACCTGCTCTAGGTGACCCTGCCTTGGCCGCTGGGTGATCTCCAGAGGTCCCTTCCAACCCTAATGATTCTGTGATTCTGTGAATGGGAATCTGGTATCTGAAGTACTGGTTATAAGCACAGTGAGTAAAAGAATATAATTTTATTCATACAGATTAAATTTTTTAAATACGTATAAATGTATTTTTACTTTAATTAAATCTTATCTGCATCTTCTTCCTTGGAATGTCACGAACATTTTGTATTGTCAAACTCTTCAGTGAATCATCTCTCTCTCTCTCAAATTGCTCACGACAATCTAAAAAGATGTGTCTTTGCCCAGACTCTTTCTCCCCTGTCCCACAGTTAGCAACCTGAAGCAATGAAGCACATACCCAAGAGAGCTCCTCAGGCTGGTTCTGAAGAACTCATGAAGAATCTAGGAATATAGTTAGGTCATGTAGAAAGAAAATTAGAGAGACAAAGGCACAACTTGAACTGAATCTAGTGACTTCTGATAGGGATAACAAGAAGTGCTTCTACAAATACATCAATAGCAAAAGGAGGGGCAAGAAAAACCTCCACTCTTTGATGGACATGGGGGGAACATAGTCACCAAAGATGAGGAAAAGGCTGATGTACTTCACACCTTCTTTGCCTCAGTTTTCAACAGTAAGACAGGTTGTCCTCAGGACAACTGGCCTCTGGAGCTAGTAGACAGAGACAGGAAGCCGAGTAGCCCCGTGTAATCCAGGAGGAAACAGTTAGCAAGCTACTGAGCCACTTGGATCCTCACAGGTCTATGGGACTAGATGGGATCCACCCAAGGGTGATGGGGGAGCTGGCAGAAGAGCTCGCCAAGCTGCTCTCCATCATCTACCAACAGCCCTGGCTCACTGGGGAGGTCCCAGATGATTGGAAGTTGGCAAATGTCACGCGGATCCACAAAAAGGGCTGGAAGGAGGACTTGGGAAACTACAGGCCTGACAGTCTGACCTCTGGGCCTGGCAAGTTTATGGAGGAGATCACCCTAAGCAGTCACAGAACACCTACAGGATGGACAAAGGATCAGACTCAGCCAGCACGGGTTTAGGATGGGTAGGTCCTGTCTGACCAACCTGATCTCCTTTTATGATCAGGTGACTCACCTGGTGGATGACGGGAAGGCTGTGGATGTGGTCTATCTGGACTTCAGCAAAGCCTTTGACATCATCTCCCATGGCATACTCCTGGAAAAGCTGGCAGCCCACAGTTTGGACAGGGGCACTCTGTGCTGGGTTAAGAACTGGCTGGAGGGCCGGGCCCAGAGAGTGGTGGTGAACGAGGCTGCATCCGGTTGGCAGCCGGTCACTAGTGGTGTCCCCCAGGGATCAGTGCTGGGCCCAGTCTTGTTTAATATCTTTATTGACGATCTGGATGAGGGGATTGAGTCCACCATCAGCACATTTGCAGATGACACCAACCTGGGGTGGAGTGTTGATCTGCTAGAAGGCAGGAGGGCTCTTCAGAGGGACCTGGACAGACTGGACAGTTGGGCTGGTTCCAACAGGATGAGGTTCAACAAGGCCAAGTGCCGGGTCCTGCACTTTGGCCACAACAACCCCATGCAGTGCTACAGGCTGGGCACAGAGTGGCTGGAGAGCAGCCAGGCAGAAAGAGACCTGGGAGTCTGGACTGACAGGAAGCTGAACATGAGCCAGCAGTGTGCCCAGGGGGCCAAGAAGGCCAATGGCATCTTGGCCTGTATCAGGAACAGTGTGGCCAACAGGTCCAGGGAAGTGATTCTTCCCCTGTACTCAGCATTGGTGAGGCCACACCTGGAGTACTGTGTCTGGTTCTGGGCCCCTCAGTTCAGGAAGGATATTGAGGTGCTGGAGCAGGTCCAGAGAAGAGCAACAAGGCTGGTGAAGGGACTGGAGCACAAGTCCTATGAGGAGAGGCTGAGGGAGCTGGGGTTGTTCAGTCTGGAGAAGAGGAGGCTCAGGGGAGACCTCATCACTCTCTACAACTTCCTGAAAGGAGGTTGTAGTCAGGTGGGGGTTGGTCTCTTCTCCCAGGTAACCAGCAGTAGGACAAGAGGACATGGTCTTAAGCTGTGCCAGGGAGGTTTAGGTTGGATATTAGGAAAAAAATTTTTACAGAGAGAGTAATCAGACATTGGATTGGGCTGCCCAGTGAAGCGATGGATTCACTGTCCCTG